GTAATATAGATAACGGTAGCGTATACATAGTACGTATACAGATAATTGCTCGTATAACACAAATTAAGAGATTATTTTAACTTACAATGCGTCAACATATTAAATGTTATTACAAAGTTAGTATATATTTATATGAATGTAACAAAATTAACAGAATATAAAATAAAATTGTTATGGAGTGGCAATGATAGGGAATGTAATTTTATTTATTAGGAATTTTAAAGTAAATAAGAGAGAGCTTAGTGTCGATCTATGTTTTTCAATGAATTTGTCGATAAAGTGGAACGATTGATCAACTGGTGGTGTAGATGGTAATATATAATATTATACATATGTACCATGTAAATATGTGATGGCTGTTGCTTTTGTGTATCATATTGGTTGTTGATTTGATTATTTTTTTGGTCCTAAACGAATAATTAAAAGTTGGTCACATAATGCATGGCTAATGCCAACATTATCCAAACGTGAACATAAACCGTAACATACACAAGGATATGATGTTACTATATTCAGAGTCCGTATGTAAGTATACGGGAAAAATAAATAACTCTGGTTCGTCAAATTTACTTAGACCGATGTTCACATCCCAATTGCCAGTGCTTGTGAGATCAGTAGTGTTACGAAGGGGATGGTAAATATCATTCACCTCCAAGTGTTCATATTTTTTCATATATATAATAAGATAGAGTTATAAAAACATGTTCTATTTTAAACTCGGTACTAACCATTGTTGTCGTTGTACATTAAAAATTAAAATCTCAATAACATGTTATTTTGATAACCACCACTTATGGACCACAATGACTGTAAATCGAGATTTAGTACAGTTGTGGCAGTTTTCGATAACAATGTTTTTCCATCGGCAGATCACTGAAAAATAACTTTTGCTTTTTTTTTTTTTAATGTCTCATTACCGTAAATCGTTGTTATTTGGCAATCATATTCCATGATCCGACAGAAATCACTCGTATCACGTACTAAACACAGTTCATACCCGAGTATCCGATACAGTTCCCGACCTCACTGCAATTTAAAAATGCCGGGCCCATCTTCATATGTGTATACATGTGTATGTGATTAATAGAAATCGCGCGAAAGCTTATCAGCTGCGGTGGGAGTTGTTAGAGATATGAGAGGAACGAGTCAACGGAGAGAAGCGTCTGTGGGGGAGGCGACGCGAATGTACGGACGGACAGCCGGACAGGTACAGACATCTGGGCTGATTGATTGACGATGACTCGCGTCGACGGCGTATCCGAACTCCAAACAAGCGATTACCAAAATATCATTCGACCACCGCCTTACCCCTATCATATACGTACCGGTACAAATATTGCACCACGCATTTTTTCCGTCTGCAATGGTGACGAAGATCCAACTGACCGGTAAACTATATTATATTATACACCGCACACCGCTAGTGTGTTGATTTCATATGCCTCTTTGCCGCACCGCAATATATCATTACACCCATCTGTCGGATATCCATTAAAATTGATTGTTTCCCGATCGGTAGTGTTCGATATACCAGTCGTATACATAGATATAGTACATTTATTCCTTTTTAATTAAACTTTGACAAATACGCTTTCTCCGGCTTTCTTTTCTTTGCCACCGCCGCGACTTACGCTCTCCACCCCTGCTTCCCCTTGACCACACCAATCCTTTGACGTCGAAACAACAATGATTAAAGATTTTCACGGCGGACGGACCTTGACTCAATACTGTTTTTTTTTCTTTCTTTTATTTCACCCTTTCCCGAAGACGACTCGACCAACACGCGCTACTACTCACTCAAACTCGATTCCAACCCATTAAGTCAAATGTATATACATTGAAACGATATACTAGTGTGGTTTACTAGCGATGGCCAATGGTTTATTATGCGTGTATCAGTTATTAATCACTCGGTTGTCGTCTAACCGTCTATTCGCTATCCGCGTCTGTTTGATTGCATTGTATACGTTTCGACACGAACGGCAAAAGAAAAAAATAAAGAAAAGAAAAAAATACAACGAGACAGCCGAACATTTAAATAATTGAACGATACATATCGAATCGATTCCTGTATTTACCTTTATAATATACCATACGTTATCTACGTTTCAAATGTACGCGTTTTTGTTTTGCATTATTTTATCGCTACGTGTCGTAGACAGTGCAAACATCCATAATAAGCTTGCGTGTACGAGCCTTAAGGGATGCAAGTAGCGGTAATGACAACATCTTTTAATCCGAGTGCTTTGGGGGTATTTCGGCGTTCTCACTAAAAGTAGAACACGTTTAGAGTAATAGTCGAATTATGATTACGAGATCAAATGACGGAAGAAAAATAGTCCTATATGCAATTTATAATATATAAATTGTTGATTTTATTCCATTTGTTCGTAGAACGTTTTGATATTCTAAAACAGAAAGTGTAGTCAATAATGTATAAACATTTTCTTTTTTTTAAACACCGAAGTCATTTATAAATTATTATTGAAAAAATCGAAGGCGAAATTGAACCTTCGAACAAAGTAAAGTCCTTAAAAGTCCCGAAAACTCTCCATTAAGTTAAATTAAAAGATAAATTCTTCCCCCTCCTCCACGAATATTACTTCAAAAGTTATGAGACTACAATCAACCTACTTAGAAAAAAATACTCAACCACTGTGATCTAATAAACAGAAAGGAACCTACCAAGTATAACACTCAAAGCCATAGCGAGGGTTTAGTGAAACTGACCAAGGCCAAAGCCGCGGAAAAAAAATGAAATTTCAATTGCAAAAATCATTGTCAGATTTATTCATCAAAATAGAAAACAGTTACTGGGTAGGAAAGTGAAATATTAAGTAAATTAGAAATTTAAAAATTGTCTAACACAAAAATGTGATAACGGAGCCAATGTGGCTAAAAAATATATTGGTATACTGTAGAGAGTTATTTTTAGTAAAAATTAACTAGCCACATTTATTTTTTGTACAGTGTATAGTTTAAATAGAAATAAAGTTAACGTAGCAGAAATATCTCCCATAGTGATTTCATTTTTTTGGAATAATTCATTCTTTAATTTTTTTCTGGTTCTGTTTCGAATTAGAAAATATAACTAAAGTTATAAAAATAACATTAAAATCCCTTTCAGATACTGATTATTTATCAAAACAAATCGTGCTGCTCTTGCAATAATTCAAATGTATGATATTTTGAAATCTATGTTAAATGATAAATCCCTGAGTACAAACACAATCGGAGGAGCTAAATATTTTCTCCGTTTTTTTAACTTCAAAATGTTTATCTAGTTGAATATTTGAACTTAATATTAATAAAATTTCTTTAGTAAACTGTTCCTTGCAATGAAAAAAATCAAACAATAGATACAGTTTCAGCTATCATATATTAAAAGTGTTTTATTATTATTTTTATTTTGCCTTAGTCATAAACATTACATCGTATTAAAAGGGTTAGTATTTATATAATATATAATAAATAATAAAAAAAAAATAAGATTTGAAATCTCGATAGTTAAGGCAAAAGAAACAGCTTTATATTTAAAAGTACCCGCACAATTTAAAAAAAACGTTCATGGTTTATTAAACGAGTCTCCCAACAACAACAAAACAATATTAAAAGTCGAACAAGAATTAAAAAAAGAATTGTATTTAGCTATTGACTTAATGATTTATATTTTTAACTGGAGGTATTAACAAATGTAATAATTAGTATCAGATTTTGGAATTTTAACTGTAAATAAATTTAAAAAAAAAAAAGAAAGATATATATATTATATATATATTATATATTAAATGGTCAAATTACTTGACTATGATGAATACCTCAATGGAACTGATTTGTATTCAGAATTAGAATGTTTTTAACATCAAACTAATGAATTGATAGTTAATTTAAAATCAGCTACTTCTTTAGAGCAACTAAAATAAATTCATAATTATTCTTTAAAATATGTTTATGCTTATATTGAAATAATACTCGGAATATTTTTTATAATACCGGTGACGATTACAACATGTGAAAGAATTTTTAGTAAATTTAAAATAATTATAAGCTATCTAAAATCTACAATGCCACAAGAAAAATTATCAACTATAACAATAATTTCTATTAGACGTGGGTTGGACTTAAAAATCAACTTTCAAAATGTAACTGATAAATTCGAAACAAAAAAAAATCTCAAAAAGCATTATTTTGAAAATGTATAATAGCATTTTTTTATATTTTAAAATACTCGTAATATAGAAAGTTCAGAAATGGTTTTATATTCTTATTACACAATATTATTATTTATGATTAGATATAGAAATTGTTAAATAAAATAATTTTGGTATTTATGTTTAAAATGTGTGTGTTTGTGTGAGTGTGCGGGGAAAAGGGGTAAACATCTTTAAAAGCGACAATTTATGAAATAGCAAGCGGCACTGATAAACCTTGTTACGGCTCTGATGACACTACTGCAATGCACATTTTAACTGAATGTTTCAAACGTCAGAAAGAACGAGAAGTCCTTTATTGCACCCACTTAATGATATTCTTCAACCACAACAGTTTATTCAATTAACATAAAATCTGCACCACTAAATATGTATTGTTAAATTACTACACTAATGTAATTTTGAACCTATATATATATATATATAATACGAGTATACCTGATATATTTAGACTTTACTTTTAGGCTCAACGTAATAATTTTATTCGTAAATGTAACATTTTTACACTATTACATTATTAATCCCAACAATTCCATATAGGTAGTTGAGATATTTAATTATAAAAAAATATAAATATAAAAAAACATTTCTTAATATAAGCACCTACGTCAATGTGATAGGTATGGAATTAATTATGGATTTAATATATTCTATATACTACGTGTTTTTCTTAACATTTCTGATAAATCATAAGATACCTTGTGCTAATGATTAATTATCTTCTAAATGTGTATAAGTAATGTTACATAAATCATTAACAATTTGATTGATTGATTTTTTTTTATTTAGGTATTACTGCCAACAATAATGGTCTGGAAGAAAGAATCCTAGAAAGAAAAATTAATTTAGGTAAGCACAGATTTTCTTATTAATGGCTATCTAAATTATTTTTTATTTTTATTAATATTAAAAATATGACGTAGATTATATTTGTTTAATAAGAGTATTGTGTTTTTCGTTGTACTTATAAAATAATTTAAAACTAACTGAAATAAGCAGCAATACTCGTATTTACATACATTTTTTTCGTAATAAATGTTTAACATTATAATTTATTCACTTTTATGACTTTATAAAATTGTTGGGTCTAATTAAACTTAATTATTGTTAATTTATTCAAATAAGGGATTAAATATATCAACTATAAAATAAAAATTGATAATAAATAAAAGAATTAACAATAATAATTAATATCTTATTAATTATAGTAATGCAAGATATTATTTTAAAATAAAGTATACAATAATTTACTTAATTTTTATTTTTTAAAAATAAATCAATATTATTCTAAATACTAAATTTCTCTGTAATTCAAATTTGTATAAAATGTTTGTATGTATAACAATTTATTAGATTTTTACTAAACCTATGTATTCAGTATCTAAATTATGATAATTTAGCTATTAGTATTAGTCGTAGTAGCTTAATAACATATGAGTACTATGAATATTTATGACTTCAAAATAATAGATTTAATGTAATTACACATATGTATGTTCAAAAAAAAAAAACGTTAACACGATAAAATGTAAATTAGAAAATGTATAATATATATTAATATAAGTTTTTAAAAAAGTTACAAAAGTTCAATTTTTTATTATTATTTAGTTTTACTATTCCGAAATACAAAATAGGTTTGTAAAATTAATTCCTTAATTAAATATCGTATGTCCGTGAATATGAATGCAAAAGTAAACAAATTATTTTTACTTTTTTTAATATTAGTCTAATTATATTATTTTGGAGCTGTTATCTTTCCAAAATTCAGATCGATCTCTGTAAACCCAAAAGGGAAAAACACGATTGCGTACGTTCGTTATCGGCCCTAACCTTTTTAAGCTACACAATTCCGTACGATTTTACCTGATTTTTAACTAAACGATTGCCTACGAACTTTTAAACGTTGATACTAATTTTCATACTGGTATTGGTGTAATCACATACCTATACGAGAGAACTTAAAAAAGTTAGTAAATATTTTGTTTTTTATTACTTTTATTACCCATGCTTATTGTTAATGATATTAAATATATTAGATATAACGAAATTTCGTTATGTTATTTCTGTTATATTATATAGGTACGGTATTTTCCGAGTTTCAGTAAAAGTAGTAGATGTCAAGGAATCCAAATTTTGGCATTTTTAATTAATTTATTAACAATAATTTCATTCAAATAAAATCTGTTAATTTTATTTATTTATTAATTACTTTTCTTTTATTTAGTTATTCTCATTTTATTTATTATTTTATTATTATTTTTTTTTTATGAACTATTATAGAACTGTTATATTTATTGTTTATGTTTATTTTTATGTCTATATTTGTTAGACTACATAGGTATTCAATATTATTAGATATAATACAATGAAATTAGTAAATTTCACAACGTTACTTATAATTTAGTAGGCAATTGTGTTTATTTATTTTTCTTACCCACTTTTCTGTTACCCATCTACAAATGTAAGCAATCGCATTGCCAAAAAGGACAAAAATGTACGGAATCGTGTTCTACCCACCCAAAAAATTAAAATTAATACATCCCATCATTGTATGTGGCTCTGAAACATATGCCTAAGAAAGACGAAAAAAGTAAGACTAGATGTTTTGGAAAGAAAAGTTCTATGATCAATCTATAGTCATATCTTATCATATATTAACCTAAAAATCGGGAATCGAACAATACAAAATAATGAAAAGCACCAAAAAATATTCCAGATAACATGTATATCAAGAAAAGCTGCAAAAATATGGTGAATGTGGATCGGGCATGTCTGAAGGTAAAATTATTGCATGATAAAAACAGTAATTAAAGGGATCTGGTAGAAATACGACCATTGGAAAAACCTAGTCTGAGAAGGGAAGATTGTGTGAAAAAAGATATTGAAGAAGTGAATCCGAGTGGATGGAGGTGGCTGAGGATAGAGATAGGTGGAGGACAATTTTTTGTACAGGATATTCTTAAAGGCCGAAAAACACTTCAAAGAAAAATAAAATTGGTCTGATTATAATGTAAGAACTACTTTTGCTACGTATTAAAATTGATTAGTATTCTTTGCGAATTATTTATTATTATTTATATTTATTGGGTAAACTGACATCAATCACTGTAGTGTTCAATGTATTTTGTGTATGCAAAAAATAAAGATTAAAATATATTAACGTTGAATACCTTACGTTTTTATTTTATACTCATAACTTGCACTTTTAAATATATCAGTACATTATCGATGTATTGTTCTACTGCATTGTTGGGCATTTACTCATTAGTGTAATTAAAATCAAAATAAAATTCTCGATGATTCATTATGTCATATCATAGTATATACTTTTTGAAGTCGGTTTATGCTAACGAAAATCTTTTCATGTTTAAGTAACACAAAGAAAAATTCCTATGGACTTTTGATCCTTCGTAATGTATTTTATATTTTATTATTAATCGTAATTTAACTTTAAGAAAAAAAAACAACCATACAAAAGCTTCTTCTTTATTTTAGAAAATGTTTTTTCGCCACAAGATATTTATTTATAAATTGTATCATATAAAAAGATCCTTAAGGTTTTTCAATTTGTTTTTCAAAAATTAACGAGAAATAATAATAATAATAATAATAAACATAAAACTAAGTTACACTAAATTAATTTCTTCGTTAGACGAGTTGTTCTTTTTTTCGGTATCCGCGCGCAATAGTATAATGTACGTAATAATATGGGATACTTGGATAACATTTTCAACGTCCCGAATCCTGTAGAACTACATTTTAAATTTAACGTTGACACAGCGTAATGAACCAATAACATACAATATTATATACATTTGTATTTATTAAAAAAAATAATAATAATAATAACAATTATAATAATAGTAAAATAAACCAAATAAGGCAGTCGAACAAAACAATATATAAAGAGAAAAAAGTGTATATTCTATTAATGTATATACATATATATACATATAAATTAATAGCGTGAACCTCAATAAATATTTTTTAGTTTATTTCATTTTTTTGTTTTGGTCGTGGGAGGTGATAAAACTACACTCACGCATGAACAAACCATTGATGTGTATATTTTTACTGCCACAAAATCCTACATATCGGATTCGCTAAAAAATTTAAATTTTTTCAAAACCCACGTTCGTAAATATGAAAATTTGGTTATTATCACTACATATACAAATATATATACCGTCACTGTATGTATTTTCTTACATTATTGTTACGATTATTTATTTTTCGTGCATTTTAGTTCTCTTTCCAAAAACCGCATACGTCACTTGAATGGTTTCCCTTTATTACAGTCTTTGTGACGTTGAACATTCATGCATTTTAGTTGGTTCGAATGTACAGACTTACGTGAAGCGGGTATAATAAAATATATTCGGCGCGTTCTACGAAAGACTGCTGCAAGTACGGTGTGACGACAATTGTACAAGAATAATTCGTTGTATCGTACGCGATAAACAAATAAATATACATATTTAATCGTGGTGGGAGAAGGGAACAAGGAGCGGAGGAAAAAAAATATAGGAAAAGAGAGTATGTACTTAAATTGTTCACCCCTTCCGTATAATTTAATCGCACGGCGGAAATAAGTTCCTCGGTGCGTTTTTTTCGTTAGAACAAAACAGTAAGAAAAAAAGAAAAAAATAGAAAAAAAATCGTCGAGTCGTGCACGCTTCCCGCGAAAAGTTAGGAGAAGCTGCAATGCGACGACTATAGTGGTTTGCGTGACCTGTGCTATACCATTACAATCGGGGGGTCGTAGGGTTAGCGCCAGAACCACGTTGCCTTATCGTGTGTACTAAAGCAGGTATGTTCACCGACTCCACCCACTGTGTTTTTTTTTTTATTTTTTTTTTTCCTCCCCCCCCCCTCCTCCGGTAGTGACTCCGCTGACGTGTCACGGAATCCCAAACGAAACGCGTATTATGATGTAGTTAAACTTTTTCGGAACACTCGAAAACGTGCGCACGCCACGCGTTACGATTGCCGTACTGCCGAATTCGGTAGAAACCCGACCGCGGGTGCCGACAGGACGTGCCGCGGAGGTTAGGTCACGTCGACGGTGCCGGCTCGCGCCGGTTTCACCGTGCAGTGGACGCGACCGTCCGCGCGGTGTCACAGGGTGGTTTCTGGGCGCGACGAATACGTTTCTAATCGGATTCCGCGGGATAGGCCCGGCGCGCGGCGAGCACGGGGTACTGCGGCGTGCGTGCCGTTGATACATTACGTTGGCCGTGACGGCAACAAAAGTCCACGGTCGATCGCGTATTCTATTAATCCGGTTACCGTACGCCATGGGAATATTCTACTTTCGGCGGTCGTGCACCAGCGCCCCCCGACCGTCCCCTGACCCGGTCGCTGCCCCCTTCCACACCCATATTCGCCACGTGCCCCCGTCCGACCGCCTCGGCCGATCGATATCGCACGCGCGCGAACCGTTGAAAGCCGAAAGAAAACTGTCACGGCGTCCGACCGTCGTCGGGCCGGGTTAGAACGTTAAACGCGCGTTTACGATCATTGAACACGTACAGCTATTACACGTGATAACGCGCGTTCGGGGACGACACGCGTTCAGCGCACCGGTAAAGCAAACACCTCGTCTTCGCGCGTCGGAACACGTCATGACATTTCGTAGACATCCAATGGCTTCGGGCGACGGACCACCGATACTCTTCCCAATTTATTCTTTTTTCTCTTCGTACAGAAAAACTAATAACGTAAATCACAATACTTGGATACGGAGCGACGTGCATACCCATACGTAAGTGTGTTTTTTATAAAATAGAACGAAACCGATATCATCTTACGAGTATACCGCTTTCGTCTACATATGGTCCGCGAACATACGAGCTTTCGCAATGTTCGTCTCCGAAGGGATGCGAAATCCGACCAACTGGTTCGAGAAAACGCGTAGTGGTAATCTGCGATTCACGTGCGAACGTCGACCGAACAACGCGCACGTTCTCCATGTGTACTTCATAAGCGCAACTAGGATGGGCTAGTGGGGATTTAGCCCCCCATAAATATTCCATGTTATACATGGCATATCGCATGTAGCATACTTAACTCACAATAGTGTCACATAAAAAAAAAAGACACATAGCAGTAAATCCAACTTGGGTTAGAATCTAAAATATATTAACATGGTATATAAGAGTAGGGGTGATTTACAGGTTATTTTAAGTTTTGGTAGGAGGGCTGTAGCCCCCCTAGATTTTTTACCCTAGCTGCGCCTATGGTGTTAACCTAACCTAACCTAACCGGCGGCCGTCGAAGTTCTGAGGGGCCACTGTTAGCCGGTCGCGCCGTCGTCACCTGTCTCCCCCCCCTCGAAACGTCATGCGTCATGCGGGGCCAACGTCCGGCGCATGCCGCCTTCGCGTCCAACGCGAAGCGTGTCGTAATATTACCGTTACTGCGCGTTTGGATGCGTTCAAACAGCTTGTGCGCGAAACGTTCGATTTGTCGAGGCGGTGTTCACGGTCAGAGCAATTGAGAACGAGGTGAACACAGGGCGCCCTTTCGAATCGTCGGAACAGAAAGTTTTCACGTTCCCTGTCCCGTGTATATGCACGCATTTGGAATGCGAACGCTTTTGATGTACGTTTCGACGAGTGTGTTCGACGTGACACTTTTTCCTTATTTTTCTTTTTTCCGTTCTTTTATTTTTGCGTTCCATTCGTTTTGTTTTTATTGCCATTAGTGTTTTATTCCGCGCAACGCCTGCGGTCGATACGGCGTAACGTCGACTGTGACGCGGCATTCCTTTTACCGCTATACAAACGTAACCGTTCGGATATCTCGTGCTACAATAAATAACCTAGAAATTTAAATTTAAACAGTCGTCGGGTCAACAACCGTACGAACACGCTCATGGCGCATACACTTTTATTAACAGTTGCAGGACAATAATCATTTTTCATGGACTCAAAAAGAAAACCGCAATGGTTTAATCCAAAGTCTAATCGATAAATCCAGTCGAACGATTACATCGGATCTCTTGAGTAAATAAACTTCAATAAACGTATAAATATTAGTTACAAATTGACGTTTTGAGACATTATAATATTAGGTATGTGTTTTATAACGATATCAAATTTCATAATTTAACCTAATCACACTTACGACTGAAAATATGACAAAAACAACTATATTTCTCTCATCCAATGAGAATCTCATTATTTCCATGGAATAATTTGAACCATCTTCATAGATTTTTCACTATCGTCATTGTTTATAACGTAAACTTATACACGTTCTTTGCGAATATTTCTGTTTTAAATGTCCATGGTTTTTTCAATTTGAGTCATCTGTTGAAGTATTAGTTAAATATGAAGACTGAGCTCATCTTATTACAATCGTTGACACAATAACTCATTGAGAACTTTTTCTTTTCTTTTCGAACAATACTTATACAACATTAATATAAATAAAAGCAAACTAGTAATTTCGTTGGTACTCGAAAATTCAATTCAATATTATTTTTATTCATTCATAATCGATTTTTAAAAATAAATCTAAGTAAATTTTTAAGTTTTTAAACTATTTTAAACAGTATTGTCTGTAAATATACATATTGATAACTACATACATGATGTAATTAATTATAATAATGGTATTTCTGATTTATTCAGATTGCAGCAAAGGGTATTTTTAATATTTAGTTATACGTATAAAATTTTTTTATGGATTATTCAAAAAGCAACAAAAACGTACACGTATTCCACGTATGTATTCTCAAAACAAATGATAAAGTTTGCAATGAAATATTCACTAAAAATAGTACCTACCCAATTCGAGAGTGCAAGGACAAAGACAATTGTTTATACCCACAAAAACACAAACACACAAACCCTTTTCAACCAACTTTATAAATGTAGTAAACTATAAAAAATAATCAATATGTATTTTAGGAATAATTCTTTAATATCAGCGTCATTTTGAAATAAGAATATCAGGACATACACGCGTACAAAAACACGAGCGCGTGTGTGCTTGCCCATCTAATACTAACATACATTACATAGAAAGGAGTAAATTTTATTCCAAAAATTCGTACACAAAAGGTCGTCTCTTGCTTTTATGGGTCCATTTATTGCGATATTCTCGTGAAAGCAATGATAACGACGACGATACCTTGGAGTATTTTTAGACAGAGAAATATTTTAAGTTTATCCGACACCGCGTTAGTCGAACGTCAATAAAATGTATGTTGTAGTTTCAAAAATTTATCGAAATGCTTGCATACTTGTATATATATTAATCATAGAAATAACAGAGAATATGTATAATTTACTTATGTACTCCTAGCTATATTGACAAATTAAGCACCTTTCCGACAAAACACGAGTTTTTCTTATGTTATTCCCTCCGAATTAAACTCCGAAGTCATATCCTCAAATTATGCAATAGCAGATGCTAAAATATATCATTTTTCGTTCTGCAAACTAAAGGATTTTTTCTTATTCCCCTTTCAAACGTTAAGAATAATGAGTAACACAATTAAAAGAATTGGTTTTTAGATTTTGCAAATCTTGGAATTTTAAAAATATGTAAGATAATTTAATAAAAAAATGTAAAATTAAAAACAAATACCATAATTTAGAAAATAGAACCACAACACATATTTTAATTTTATATTACACACTTAACATTTCGTATTACACAAAGTGTGTCGTACTGCACAACATTTTAGTCCCTGTACAATTGTTATAACAAATATATTTTCCTGCTATTCATCATGTTTTTATAAAAAATATATATTTTTATTGATAGTATATATAAGTTTGTGTGTGTTTCATAAAATATACTAAATGGCTAGGTAGTGACAATTTTTTATTTGTTCCGTCTATGTTTTATACAACAGGTTAAGCATTATTTTCAGGACGGTCGCACGACCATCATGTCATGAAGTGCAAAATTAAGTGTACTGATGATTTTTTTTTTTTGTACATTACACAAATTACGTATGCGGATCAAGTATTCGGTTTAGGCGAGACCTTGGAGAGTTTCGGGTCAACCGTCTCTCTCTCTCTCTCTCTCTCTCGTTCTCTCTTTCTCACTCTATCTCTCTCCTTCACACTCCCTTTATCTATCTATATTTTTCTCATTTTCCACCATAGCCGCTCCTCTCTTTTGCTGCTTCCCCTATGCTTCCCTCTCCTTTCTTTTTCGCATTCTCCTTCTTTTTTCCTTGGTTACTACTATACCATCGCTTTTGCTGCTGCTTCTGCTACTACCGCTGCTGCTGGGTTCGACTAAACAGAAATCGATATCGTTGCTCTGTTTTCCCCTGACTGCGTGTAAATATAATACAATTTTCAATCCCTATATTCGCTCAACCGTTCCTCAACTGTCACCATATATGATGTACCATTGTCACCAGAAACAAAATTATTTGTATTTTTAATTTTTTATTTAGTAAATGATTAATATAACTATATTAATGATAAATTTACAGAGACTTTTAATTCTATCAAAAGCTTTAATATTTTTTTTAATGTTCTGTATAAAGTATTCAAACTGAAAATATAAAAATTTTAAATATTGATCATAAGTTTTAGAATTTATGTATACAATTTAAGATTGTTTGTAGTTTTATAGATTTAAAGAAGAAAAAAACAATGTTTATAAATAGATATACGAATAAATACTTATTTTTATGGGTGCATTAATTTTCAATTGTATCCATATAATACATGATATAATGAAGTATGAAATATTTTTCTATTTTTTTTTATTTAGATTGTTAAGTGTACACAACGTGCTCAAACTGTCTTTTTCAAGGGATGGATCCAAAATAGAGCGCCACAGGTGCCGTTTTCCGGATGGACGAGAGGTAAATATGTCCTTTAGATGTGAATTATATTGCTTTTATCGATTATAATCAATCTGTATTATTCACAAGATGAAATTGCGTTTAGAGTATTTAGATTTCAAAATAAAAATAGTTTTATCAAATCGCCATAGTGTAATATGAAGATAAATTTAGTTTGATTCTATAATTTTTTTTTCAGAGGGTTAACGTGCTTGAGCCCTCTCCAGCAGTCCGGAGGGGGCAGGCCGACGAGGGTATAAGAGTTGCACTCGACCATGTCCATTGCTGACACTGATTCTTCATTCTCCAGTGAAGAAAAAAGCCTATTCCGTCCGTTCACCCGCGAATCACTGAGGGCCATTGAACAGCGCATAGCCGAAGAGCATGCTAAACAGAAAGAACTTGAGGAAAAAAGAGCTGAAGGGGAGGTGAGTTTTCTTGAACACTGGCCAAGTTAGCCAGAGTCCATTTCATGTTCTCGTCGTTAAATTTTGACTCTACCAACATATTTTTGGAAGCAAAATTTATAGCTGAACACTTTTTGACGTCCAAAATAAAACTACAATTAGCTTTAAATACGATTTAAATGCGGAATTTAAGACGGAACTTGCGTGTATATGTGCCAAGTTTTAAAAACGATCCAATATTAATGTTATTTGTTTTATTATTTAACAACAGCCCTTGCCATGGAAAAAAAATAAAAATAAAGACGTAAGCAAGTAGAAAAATCTAGAGGAAATACTAATAGTTAGGCCACAATCTTGGCTTAGAATTCATCATTTTTTCATATTCGATTACATTTATATCGTACATACGTTGTATTGTCACATGATGTACATAATACATTGGTACTGATTTACTTGCTATATTATACTTTGAGCAAATGTACAAAAAGCATGTTACAACATAAGTTCTTAGTGTCACGTAACATAATGTCAACGCTCAATAGTAATTAAATCAATAGGTCCATAAACATGAGCTTAACAAAAATAAAGAATCTATTATCGTACATATAAATATTTACTAGTATAATATACGAGTATATTATGTAATTATACATTTATTATTATATTGTAATGTACATTTATTTAAATCTGTATCATAATATAACAGTAGATATACCGTCATTTATTTAAGTACGTATTATATTTAGTAATAGTAGTTTCTAGAATAGATTTCGCTAGACTAAAGGTAACGTTCATAATAAAAGGAATGAGCTGCTATTGTCATATATTATAACGCTAAAACACTGTAATAGTTGTTATTAATCTCACTCATTGATTAAACTTGATTCATTAACCGATTAAGGAATAAATTAGTCGTAGTATAAACAGTAACCTAACTAAGTGATTATAATATAACAAGACTTCATGGATAAAAAAATTTAAATAACCTTTTTTTATACCAACTAACTTGTTATTCATCAGCATTAAAAAATGAATTAATGGTAATCTGTGATTTTATTTAAACGTAATTAATTTGATATCACTAGTATGAATTTTTTAGTATAAACGTACAATAAAGTGCATATTAAAAGATTCTCTACCCACTACTAATGAAAAAAAAAAAAAAGGCTAAAAACCTAAAAACAATTTCTATCTGTTTACTTGGAACGAATAGTACAAATTATTGTATACATCATCACTATTATTAACTTTCATTAAATAACTTAAAATAAAAATTAGTATTCGCACGTTCCATACGAATTATTCAACCATTTTATAAAGGCAAATAATTGCATCGTGTCGGTTCTGCGTTTTTACATAAATCTCTACTTATCATTCGATTCATCGGTTCATTATTATATGTTCAAGATTTCCTCATTACACTTAATATACTTATTATAATTAAGTACGTTCAAGATCTGCCTCGCACCATATGCTACAGTTGTCGTGTTCAAAAAAATTAAATTTATTTTACAATCAATTTTGTGACGAATGAAACACTCTGCGCAGTTATTTAATGTATAAATCGATTGCTCCACGACAAATTGTTTACAAGTTTTAATTTCATTGCGTTGACGGCGGTCGCGCTATAGAAACGCGCATTGTATTGTGCCCGTCCGGTGTACTATGGTGTACCAGGTGATAACGTGAACGATTCGCGTTTGTATTGTGATCGGATACAATGCGACGTAACTTAACATAACGAAATCGTATCGTATCGAATCGGTTAACCATAAAATAGACATGTATGGATGTACGCTCCTGACACGACGTGTAATTGTTACGTCAAATTAAACAGTGTGTATGTGAAAAAGACGTGTTTACATGTAAACTATACATGTTCATATATTTGTATTACCTACTGCATTTTCGTTAAGGAACTTGTTCTAGGAACGTCATTCAATTGTTTATTTTTTGAAACCACTACAAAAAAATATTCTTATTCTTTTTTGCCCCATAGAAAATATTGTATTTTAATGTAGTATCAATTCGAAAAGTATTTTGAACAACATTTTATACACGATATTGAAAAAAAAAAAAAAAAATGTTTTTTTTATCACGTCCGATATATATTTGTATATAAATTATAAATATAATACTCTAATCGTTTAATAATTATTTATATATGGGTTTAGTCAAGCGATGAGAAACACTAACGAATTCCTTTTTATATTTAAAGAACAAAAAATTCGATCAAGACATTGGAAACAATTTTTCTTCGGGTACCATATTATTTAACAGACGTTGGACATCATATTAGCTATTTGATCTTCATTAATAGCTATTCTGAGTAGAGATATTGTGGATATATTAAACCACTTTTTGAGGTTGTCCAACCAAGAAATTTGAGATCTTCCACGGTTCTTTTGTCCTTTTATTTTACCCTGAATTATTCATTGTAGTAGACTATATTTTTCTGGACGTCACATATATATGTCCTGGATACTGAAGTTGTCATGATTTTATTGTTTTTACTACTTATGATTTTAATACCTTTATTTATCTTTAATTGGAAACAATTAACTAACTTTAAATCTAACTATTCCAGATAAAATGAACTAAATCCGTAGAAAAATTAGCTATTTCTTAATTCCCAATAAAGTTTTTAGAACTATCACATTTGTTTATCATACATTTAAGTAATTTTGAATTCGATCTCAATATTTTATTCTAACTTATATCATTTATAATGCGACGATAATGGTTTTGAGCAAGTAAAAGTAAGATATACCCTGCGTTCTATACTCAAACTTAAGCACAGCCAACCAAATTTTACAATTGATATGACTATGTTTGACACTTGGTCTAAAGTTTAAACTGCACAGACACTGCCCGCAAAAACAAATTTGTGGAAGAATTTTTTTTTTTTCACAGAAATTTTAATTCAACTGATATTTGATATAAGTAGTAAGAAAAAAAATATCGCCAGTTCAGGCATCTATGCCAGTGGAAAGGCAAAGAAAAGACGAAAAATTAAAAAAAAATTTATTCAACCACTCTACACGGCCCCCTCATCATAACTTTTGTTGATAACATTACCTAAACACATGACAAACAACAACGAGAAGATGACGTATTACAATTTCTATTGTTTCTACTAGACGTTCATATGTAAATTACACACGCCTATAAATACATACATACATATATATACGTATAAATACACGGTTATGTAATTGTATCATTGCATCATATTGTGCATTATGTAAATCGCATTTGGCCGCAGACGCCGCCGTCGCCACCGGCTGACGTTCGAGGAGAACCTCTAGGCGACGGGTGGCGGCGACCTCCCGCAATAGAAATGTTGTACGGTGCGGTAGTTCAATATTATCGTTACAGATTCGGTATGAGGACGAGGACGAAGATGAAGGTCCCCAGCCGGACGCGACTCTGGAACAAGGAGCTCCCCTGCCGGTCCGTTTGGTTGGCACGTTCCCACCGGAATTAGCGTCCGTACCGCTCGAGGATATCGACCCTTACTATCACAATCAAAAAGTAAGTATACACCACGAGCCATCGAGTCGAGTTGTCGCAGTCGGTTCCTGCGAGGCGGAAGACCGTCCGGAAAAAAACCCAAAGCTGCGGCATCGTCGGCGGCGGTCACGGAGTAGAATAGTCACATAACGCATAGCTTGTGACCATTTCCGCCTGCTGCGTTTACTGACGGTCAACTTTTGTTTTTCATTTTACAGACTTTTGTAGTAATTAGCAAAGGAAAGGATATCTTCAGGTTCAGCGCCACCGACGGCCTTTGGGCACTCGACCCCTTCAACCCCATCCGCCGGGTGGCTATATACATACTAGTCCACCCGATATTTTCTGTAACAATCATCACTACTATACTTACAAACTGTGTGTTCATGATAATGCCCCCCACTCCAACTATCGAAGCGTCCGAGTAAGTTCATAAGCTCAATAACTTTTAAGTACAACACGATTTTTGTAATTTTTTTTATCTATTATTCGTTTACTTTTTGATTTTGTGTTTTATTATTATTATTATTATTATCATTGTTTAATTGTTATTATTGCTATTGTTATATTGATATATTATTGTTCTTATAATCCTTTACATATATATTATATATATACGTAATCTCTATGTTTTATTTTACATCAAGTATCCAACGTTTCATACATTATTATATTATGTTCCAATTATTATTATTATTATTATTATTATTATTATTGTTATTGTTATTATTATTATTATTATTATTATTACTATTCGACCTTAGGTTTATATTATTTTTTTATTAGAACTTACTGACATTTATTTAATTATTAATGATTATTATACGTTAGAAAGTCTTAGCTTATACATACTAGATCGCTAGAAAACATGGTAAATTGTTGAGGATAGTGTTATTATGTGTATGTAGCGTTAGGATGATTATTATTGATTTTTATAATTTATGTTTTATATTGTAATCTAATCGTTTCCAGAGTAATATTTACCGGCATCTACACATTCGAATCGGCTGTGAAAGTAATGGCCCGAGGTTTCATATTAGAACACTTCACCTATCTTAGAGATGCATGGAATTGGCTAGACTTCATTGTTATTGCATTAGCGTGAGTAGTAGAAGTAGATTTGTAGATACCGTTATTATGGCGATATAACCACAATTGAAAGGGAAGGTATGATGGTATTTGTGGTATGGTGGGTTGTGGGTAAGCAGGGTATCGCAAACGATAAAATCGAATCCACGGCGGTTTTATTATTCTTATAGTTTATTCGCTCCGCGTTTAAAAAAAAAAAAAAAAAAAAAACATTAATTGAAAAGGGGCAAATTATTTTCTCGTTTTATTTTACGTATGTATATGTAATATCCATATAGAAGTATCTGTGGAATACATTATTATTTAGTATCGGATATGAAAGCATATATGTATTTTGTATACATGTTTTATAATACACATACATATAAATGTATTTTCTTTTGTTAATAGTATAGTGTAATAGATTTTACTCGAAATTTAGACGAATAGCCGATAACCATTAGAATCGGATTTTAATGAAACCTAGTCATATACACATATGAATATATATATTTATATAGATATGTATATATGGCGTACACATAATATATGCCATTTATACATATTATATACAAATAGTTGATATTGTTATTTTAATTAGAATATACTTAGTTTACAGCCCTTTTATTTTAGAAGGTAGGTTTAAATATTTTGTGGACTCGGTATCCATATATTGATTAGTAAAACATGATAATTTAATTGTAGCATGTGTAGTTAAATATTTTAATTTTCAGTTACGTTACTATGGGTATAGAACTTGGAAATTTAGCTGTTCTTCGAACATTTCGAGTACTGCGAGCGCTCAAAACTGTAGCCATTGTGCCTGGTAAATATAACTCGATATCACATCAATTATATTACATTTTACAATATTATTCTACTTGTTATAAATTTTATTTAAACGGATAAATACGAATATTATAATTATTCGATTAAAAAAAAATGTAAAGGCAAACTAAATAATAAATTGTTTGTGGTTTCACTTAAACAGGATTAAAGACTATTGTTGGAGCTGTGATAGAATCCGTGAAAAACCTCAGGGATGTCATAATATTAACAATATTTTCACTATCTGTGTTCGCATTATTGGGATTACAAATTTATATGGGTGTATTAACGCAAAAGTGTATCAAGGAGTTCCCCCTTGACGGTTCAGCTGGTAACTTAACCAACGAAAATTGGTTTGCATTCACGTCAAATTCATGTAAGTACCATTTTTATTATTATAAACAGTTCCATTGAACTTTTATTATAGTCGAGTAAATATAAATAACCATATTTGTGTGATACAGCAAATTGGCAGAAAACAGAAGAAGAAGACTATACGTTATGCGGGAACGGTACAGGCGCGGGGTATGACATAAGATATTATCATCATATAAAATCGATATACAATTTGGATTATAAGGTATATAAAATATATACAAACGTTTAATTTGTGTTTAGTCAATGTCAGCCTGGCTACATCTGTATTCAAGGCTTTGGAATGAATCCCAACTACGGGTATACTAGTTTTGATACGTTCGCATGGGCCTTACTGTCGGCGTTCAGGCTAATGACTCAAGACAACTGGGAAGCCCTATACCAACAGGTACGATATCCATGCTCTTAAAAAATGTTGTTTTAAGTGCCACGTGTAATTCAATCATCCCATTTCACAACACTAATTTTACTAAAATAAAAATATAGTCAACGCTTGTATGACCACTAGTATGACAAATATTTATTGTATTTTATTAATTAATGTGTGAAAAAAAATCTAAAAGGTAGTAAAAGGTAGATATAAAAATATTATTTCGGTGTCTGTATACATAGGTGTTAAGAGCCGCTGGACCGTGGCATATGTTCTTCTTCATCGTCATAATTTTCCTCGGTTCGTTCTATCTTGTCAATTTGATATTGGCCATCGTAGCGATGTCCTATGACGAGCTTCAGAAGAAAGCGGAAGAAGAAGAGGCGGCTGAAGAGGAAGCGATCAGGGTGAGTGGGCACCGTGATTGGAATGCTTATGGGGTGGTGCTGAAAATTACTCGTATTGTGTTAATCAAATGTTTTAGGAAGCTGAACAAGCAGCCAAAGACAGAGAAGTTCGGAGGCAAGCTCACGAGGAGAGGGTGGCGGAACGTGCGGAAAGAGCGCGGCACGTCACCCAACATCCGAAATCGCCTTCGGACTTTTCGTGCCAAAGCTACGACAACATGTTCGCTGGCCAGGATCGAGGGATTGGCGACGACAATCACCGGGAGAAAATGAGCTTACGGTCCGCGTCCATGACGAGTCATGACAAACATTCGGATACGGCTAGTGTCGATCGGCAGAATGGGAAAACGAGAAAAGTACGCAATCACGACCCATCAATGATGGTGATGTTTCAACAGGTTGACACCAGTAAACTGAGTAATGAGCTCTTTTCAAAGATTCGAAAAACATTCGTTCGATTTTCATCTATCATCTAGACAAAATGTCAGAATATTGTTAATTATAATAATATAACATTAAAAATGTTTGCATATAATATTCTACTAGCCATTAATTTCATGAGTAGATATGACAAGTGCATCCTAATCCAATGAGGAAATCGTTAAATTTTTCGAGTCATTGCACTTGATGTGTCAACACTGTTCTCTAAGAAATCGTATCGTCGAACTATTTTTACACTTTACATTTTATCGTTTTGTATTTCAGGCCAGTCTAAGCTTGCCAGGTTCTCCTTTCAATATCAGACGGGCTTCCCGTGGTAGCCATCAATTGTCACATCGAAACGGGAGACCCAGATTTACCGGAGCCGACACGAAGCCGTTGGTCTTAAACACGTTGCTCGACGCAGAGGTACGATTTAAAGCACAAATATACGAGTAATACTTTTTTTTGAATTGTATGATATAAAAAAAAATAATAATAATATTTGTAAATCATATTGTCGTCAATACTTGTGAAAATAATTATTCATCGTACTTTGAACTTTGAACTATTGTAAAAAAAATAAAAATACTAGGCTCAATATATTCAGTTTTCAATACTTATTATAATGATTTGTATTAAATATCGAAGCTCAATAAATAACAAAATTATTATTTAATATAAATTTAAACAGTCTTAGGACGAAATTTAACATTATTCCTTAGTTTTTCAGCTTTTTCTCGGTATTGGAAAAACTAATATTACTTAATATTACTATAATATTTCTAATTACTGTGAAAATTAAAAACCTCTCAAATCTAAATATTCTTTCTTCAGTATCGAAAATTGTTTTTTTCTTTTCTAATAATCTTGTAATATTCCAGGAGCATTTGCCTTATGCGGACGATTCTAACGCAGTAACTCCAATGAGTGAGGAGAACGGCGCAATCATCGTGCCTGTATCTTACGCTAACTTCGGGTCGAGACATAGTAGTTATACGTCTCACACGTCCCGGATCACATACACGTCACACGCAGATCTGTTTAAACCACCAATGACCAAAGAGAGACAGCTAAGATCGAGGTCGGCCAGAAATTATTACAACCCTTCTGAACAGAGATACTATCAAGACGTAAGAATCTCATGTTAAAATAAATGCGTTTCCAAAATCTAACTATCGATGTTTCATCAAGAATACCCGAAAACATCATCATTAGAAACTAGATAAAAAGCAATAAAAGTTTGATTTAAATGCATCATTAGTAAATCATAAACTGATAACATATTTAAACTACATAATGTTATTTTATTAAAGCCTTAATACTTTTATCATTTTTGCTTACAACATTTTTAAATAGTAGGTTTTATGTACATTTTTAAGACATATTTAATATGTTGAACAAAAATATCTCAAAGGATGTCATAATTTTAAAAACATCGAATAAAAAATGTTATAAACATGTTAATAATTTTAACGAAATTAGAACATATTCAAAAAATGAAAATTCATTGACATATTTCGATTAAGTTTGAAATTATAAAATATCTTAATAATCCTAAAATAATTTTCTATACAATTCGAAGCATAAAACCATTGAAGACTGAAATAATGTAGAATTGGTTTTTGATAAATTGAAAAATAAGTTATTTTCAAAATATTTTTTAGAATTATTCAACTATAATTTATAAAATAAAGAAAATTTCCGATCTTATACCATCTTCCTTAAGCTTGCCATGGTTCATAGGATTTAAAAAAGAAAACATTTAGAATAGTATTGGTGAAATCCCAGTTGTTTTTAATTAGATCGTGTGAGTGATAAAATCGTATATGTGAAATTCCAATAGACAACTTTCCCTCTCAATCCCTTTGTGCGGTTGTGCTTGCACCACAAGCGGTTTATATCACTGTCGTATTCGTGGTTCACATCAGATTTAATGAGCCTGTGTGGTTTTCAGGATGATTTCGATTCGAGTTCCATGTCGAAATCGAAACAGCAGGTAGACGAATGTGGCTACAATGATTCACAGAAACACACGGTTGTGGATATGAGAGGTAAACGATTCGTAATTATAGATTTATAAATAAGTAATGGGATACTTCGATGCCATTGCCGTAGTAAATGGTCATGATCAGAACAGGCAGGCTGACAATAAGTGGTCAATTATTATAGATAAATGGTCAATGCCTTTGTTTCTTCCGAAGGGGATATTAAGAGCACAATATGTATACGTTAAATTAGTCCCCGTATAATACCTGCTTAAATATCCCGTATACAAAATATCGTACAAGTTTATGCAATAAACATATGAATTTGTGTTGTACTCTTTCTTTCAATTATTGAAATAAATTATAAAAAAAAAACAAAATACCATACTAAAAAATTATATTTTAACAAGTAACTTTTTTTTATCTTTTTTTAACAAATTGCATGTAATATGATATTGAAATTTGTTTCCATTCGAACGATTAGAAACAAATAAATTTCAATTGGTAATTTTTAACTGAACATTTTAAATCTATTCGAGTCTTGAGTATTGATTTATTATAACGTACTAATGTTCAACAATAACATTCTCTAAAATATAATTTCAACGGGCTGGGAAGATTAGTTGTTGATAGCAGCACCAATGATTCTGCCCTCGGGGTAATACATTTCTTACCATACACAGTATTACCGTACTGAATTAAAAAAGTAAAACAAAAAGTGACATTTATACGATATATTATATTACATTTACACGATTATACGACCTGTTAGTTAATAATAATTAAATAAAATTATTAATAAATAACTAAGTTAGGTTGTTGTGGTTCTGTATATACATATGATGTTAGTATTATGATTACAGACGTTATGGTATTGAACGACATCATCGAACAGGCGGCCGGTCGTCATAGCCGAGGCAGCGATAAAGCAGGTACGCCCCCGATGACTGATTCGCTTACGTCGCGATTAAGACGTTGCCGAATGTGTATAATAATATTATGATAATAATCTTCTTGTAATTATTACTGTTTTCTTAATTGTTCGTATGCCGTATACGTCGTATTGTCTATATTTGTGCGTGTCCCCTGAAAAAAAAAAGCTGTATAAACTATATTATACTCGCTAACACCCTGTATAGACTTGCATGAAGTGTGCGCATAAATATTACTTGTATATACATTGTCTTCCGTCTTCGCGTGGTATGCTGTCTCTACTCGAACACAGCACACCGTTTCTGATTTAACGCATATAACACAAAAAAAAATATTATGATTTCTCATATGAAATTATTCATCCCGGCTCATCTAATGTGAAGTCAGAATGATCATTTTCTTTTCCAAATGCAAAGTCCGAAATGCTTTTCTTCGAACAAGAACAAGTATTCGAAATAAACGAAATTAATATTTAAACTACCTAAGTATGTGTGAAACGAACAGACCAATTAATAATCGATATGCAACGTTAACAACGATGCCGCCAACAAGTTAAACAAAAAAATTTTACTGAACATAATTTTCGAGAAGGACTTTTTAAGCGAACTTATGGTTTATTTACAATCGAATTTTGAACTGGGTGAGTTAATTCGTTTAAACTTAAAACAAATCATATTATTATATTTAAATACAGTTTTTCATTAATTATACTCAAGCATATGATTCAATAAATTTGAAAAACAAAATCCAATTTAGTTACTTGATTTAATAAAAAAGAACAAAATGATTTAAAGAAAAATATGCAAATGTTATTTATTTGAATACAAAAATTACTAAAATATTTTTTATGAAATCTTATACTAATTTAGTGTACTATAATTTTTGTTTGATTTAATTCTATACCTATTGCCATACAAAATGATACCACAGCTAATTTACATACGTGTATCAACTTATAAATATATTTTTCACATAATTCTGTAGTTCAGATATATTTTATTTTGTTTGAATCATTGCTAACATGTTCTGAAAAAAAGGCATTTATATACCAAAGTGGAAGCAAAAAATATTAATTCAAAGTGCCGGAATATCATACGAGAAACCATAATATAGTATATATATATTATATTTTTCAATCCATTTATGTATATATATTATATAAAAAAAATACCTACTTCATCGGCACAAGTTCCAAGTTTCACAATACACGGGAGTGTGCATTATGTACAATAATTGTTATATTATCGTTATTATTAGAAAAAAAAAAAGGTGTTTCTTATGTATTACTCTTAATATAACTTACAAAAATTGCTTACTCAGTACTTTTGTCCATGCATGACATTACATACATTGCGTTTCGTTCTTCTATTTCTTCGACTTTTCTTTCTTACGAAACACGTAATAAACATCCAAGAGTCTGCGACTTATTTTGTAACCAATAAACTGTTATCTTGTCGATTAGTATTAACGTAAAAAGGAAGAAAAAAATACGCTTTTTTTAATAGTACAATAAATATCGTTATTTATTATATGGGCTTATTTTTTAGTTGAAATTATGATTATTAAATGAGTATTCCGACACGTAGATTTAGATATTTAAAAGTATCATTTTAGTAGTTCTAATATAGTTTTTCTATGTTATTTAGGTAAATTATTATTATTGACTAATTAAGCTTCATAATAGTATATTATTTTATCCCACTGGTTTTGTGTATGAAAAACCACATACTATGTATGATGTAGATTGCAAATAATGGACATGATTAGAATATATTTAGAATTGTTGTTGTTTAAATAGTTACATAGTTTTTTTTTTTTTTTTTTTTATATCTAGTAGTTAGAAATTCAGTTTAATAAACGTAAGATAAATAAGAATATTAAAGCGCCGTATACGAAACCATTATACTTTTAAAAATAATTATGTTGATTCGGTATTAGTTAAATCATTCATTACATTAATAATGAAACAATTAAAAATAATCAAAAATTATAAAAGTAACTGAGATGGTCAAATATATTTTAAATTTTAAAAATTGAATCCACATTGAAATTTTCATTTTTAACTAATGCACTACAATAACAATTAAGACTGATCTAATTTTCAAATTATAAAATAACCAAATCCACATTTACAAAAATGAATGTAATAATAACAATAGATAAACAATATTGGTGGTTAAAGTGAGGTAGCTTATATTGATATTTTTTTCTTGGTTCACAACTTTCATGACTTCGCTTATTACTTATTTTTTCGAAAAGGATGCATCTCACTCAAAACTAAAAAAAATGTATACATAACATTCATGAAAATAGTATAACTATAAGACATATAGACTATCTAGAATATAATTCATATTTTATGCATAAATCTTCAAAAATAACCGAAAGTTTTTTTTTTTTTTTAAAGGATAAAATTATTTATCTTCATATTATAAAATAATAATAATTTTTTTTGGCCTTTGTCATAAAAATAAAAATTTACAATGTAATAATAATAATAATTACATTGTAAATAAGATCCCATATAAAAAACATCATTTAAAAAAAAATAAATAATTGTTTGATAATATCATTATATAAAGAAGACGGGTGATCAAGATCTTATCTTGGGTTCTATAAATTAAATAATAATTTATTAACGATTTTTGTCAGGAAAAACAAACCGCACTGAAAAAAAACAGTTCAATGTAAATTCATAGTAGAGGCTCCTTTAAAAGAATTTAAAATGTACCTTAACGCTTAAACTACTAGTGTATCACGTCTCAATCATTATTATTTTAATTAGGACAAAATCACTTACACATACCTAACATAAATTTTATTCTTAAAATTATAGAAGAAAAAAATAAAACCCAATTAATAATTATATAATTATTAATTTAATAAAGTTTTTTCAAACATATTTACTATTTTTTTTTTTAATTAAAAAACCATTTATCATTCTAGTATATATGTTTTACTGACCAAACAAAGAATATAACCTATACGCAAGAACGTATGTATAGATATTCCGTAAAAATGGTACAAAAAAGTAATAGCTGTGAGGAGACGAAATTAAAAATTAAATGTTGTTGGGAAATGAATGTATCTTATTTTTGACATGCGAGTATACATTTAAGAGTAGAAAACCTGAAGAAAATATACGAAATTTCAACATATCCTTATTTTGAGTCACTTCAACCACTGGTGTTACATTAAAATGTTGTGCATTTATTAAAGTACATAATGTCATTAAACTAAGGAACATGTAATGTTTTTAATTAATAATTGTTAACATTCTCACCAAACATACCAATTTTCTCGTATCAGAGTAGATAATTTTTACAAATATGAATGTAGTACGAATAGAAATGTGAAATTTACCAGTAAAAAATGTTTGGTAAATTTACCGGTAAAATTTACGTGAAATTCAGTAAATTGGTAAATTTTGAAAAAAAAATTTTTTTTTAATTTTTATTCAATTTTTAAATACAGCTTACGTACTAAATTTCTTACCTTCTTCAACATTTTTTACGAAGTTTTAAAATGTAGGATGAATGTTTTTTTTTCCTTTTTACCTACCAACCTATTTAACATGTGTAAGTGAAACACACTATAACATAGTCACACAGAACAAGTAACGACAAAACAAGAATTTAAAATATTATCAGTGTTTACTTTTAAATTAATGTATATATACTCGTAGATTATAATATACAGTAGTGTATTGGAGGGTATACGAGGGTATACAGTGTATACTCAATACGCTATTTTTATCCATTGCGTGTAGCTTATGAGAAATTAATGATACGCGGGTATACGGCCGTATATAGCGTATAGCTTGTAATTTAACAAATAACTACATAATACTTTGACTAACCTAACTTGTGGTTATATTTATGATGTGATTCGGTATCGGATATATTATTATTAATTTTCTTTTTTTTTTTTTTTAATGAAAAATTCAAATTTGTTATCATTTAACAACAAGTTTCTGTTATCAGTCATAAGTAAAGTTGTGTAATTCATAAGTGAGTTTTTTTTGTTCCTACCATATGATAGTTACTACATGAAATAAGGCGTATACCCATGATTTATTTTAGCAATACATCACTGATAATAAAATAAAATACTGAATACAGTGCCTGCATTTTATTATCGTATATGCTACGCTGATTATCTCGGTTCTAGTTTTAAAAACGAGGAAAAAAAAAAAGGCTACGCTGATTATCTAAATAAAACTACGGTTGTATATATACCTATATATATATGAGTATATTCTCTACAACAGTGAATAAAATGTATTCCGCTAGTAAACACATTAAATAAGGGGTCGCTCAATTTTTTTCAATGGTAAAAAAAAAATACCGGGTAAAAAAAACTTGGGAAAATTTACGTAAATTAAATTTTACCCGTACATTTTACCGGGTAAATTTACTGAGCTCACATCTCTAAGTACAAAATAATATTAAAAAAAAACGTTTTTCATTTTATAACATTGATTAATTTAGTTTGAATTTTAGCACCAATAAACTTGAATAATTGTTGTAGATATTTTATTTTATGGCTTTTGTAAACATAAATCAATAACAATTTGCTATTCTCAACTTTTTTTTAACTTTATTTAACTGTGAGTCAAATTATTAATACTAATAATTTTTTAATAGTATAACACATATGTCATTTTAATTTATTAACATGCATTAAATGATACCAATCATATCTTCATGTTTTATTTTTTTATCAAGTCACTTAGAAATTTGACTAATAATCCATTGTAATTATTCTGCACCATAATTACATTTTGAATTAGCTTTTAATGATTGACTTATCATTATTATTAATCTTGTAGATTCGATAAATAATCAGGCATTTACAAAACGTTTTTAAAATTTTATATTTTCACTCATTTGAATTTTAATAATTTAACACTTTTATTTATATAACAAACCAACATCTTTTTCTAACAATGGTTTTAGAATAAAACATATACCTTATATACATACTTATATATACTAAATACACGTTTTTATTGTTTAATTTAGTTTTGAAACAAAAAATCATTTGCAATAAATGTTTATTATTTTTAAATATTCACTATTAAACAAATTGTATAATGGAGCATTGAAGTATAATAATATGAGATGAGTCAAATATTTTTTAATCGAAATAAAACTTAATTAATAATGTACTCTACATTTATCGTTCAAATATTACATCATAATGATTTAATTCATAATAATAGTATAACAATAACGATTTCAACTTAGTAATGTCAATAACTGCGAAAACTAAGTGTGGATTTAATAATAATACATTTTTATTTTATTTTACAGACTCTTGAATAAAATAAATAATATTTATTAAAACGATAAAATAAATTACAATTATATAATAATTTGAATTGTAATGGGATTCATTAATGACGCTGAGAAAAAAAAAGTGCTGAGATCGTGCAAATGATGTACGTTATATTAATAGTAATATCGGGGGGTACTCTCGTGGGTGCCTGGGGTGCAGTGTCCACGGTGTACGTGTTTCCAACAGATGAGGAGGCGATTGATGGCGAAGGCGAGGACGACGAGGACGACGAACCGACATTCCGCGAGAAGTTCCAGGTGTGGCTGTTGAAGTTCATCGACACGTTCTGTGTGTGGGACTGTGGATGGCCCTGGCTCAAGTTTCAGCAAGGATTAGCGTTCATAGTATTCGACCCGTTTGTTGAGCTTTACATCACCCTGTGTATCGTCGTCAATACGTTGTTCATGGCACTTGACCACCATGAGATGAACCCCAAATTGGATTTCGTGCTCAACAAAGCCAATGTTGTAAGTATTTCATCATAAAAATATCGGGATACTCAGGAATTAAAACGCGACGACGATATCATAAGCCTAGCACTCGGAGATCGAAAGGTCAAACAATTTTCTCTTAAAATAACCGATTTGTAATAATGTGCAACCACAACTTTGAAATTCGTAATCTGAAATTGAATGCTTAAAACAAGTTTAAGGGCCGGAGGTACTAATATTACATTGGCCCAACAACCCGAGTGCAAAACAATTGTTTTAAGGGATGAATTATCGGCTAAAAACTTCAAAAATCAGAATACGAATTGTTATATATTTGTAAATAATTTTCTAAAAAAAAAAAAGAATCAACTTTCAGACATCGAGCGCTGGGCTAACGGAGCTGTTGCGGTAACCGTGTGCGAAACCGGTGTAAACCCATTGTCGAAACAATAAATAGATTGCGTTTAGTCGTTCAAGACGAGATCCCTTCAGTTTTTTTCTCCCGACTAATATCCAATGAACGTATAGTTTTTTAGCGCGACATTCGGCGTGGAAGCTGCTCTCAAGCTGATGGCGATGAGTCCCAAATACTACTTTCAAATGGGTTGGAACATCTTCGATTTCATCATCGTCATCCTATCAGTTGTGGAACTGCTATCAGCCGGCTACCAAGGTCTATCAGTGTTACGTTCCTTTCGTTTGGTGAGTGTTTCCTTCGTTTCCGAGACATAGTTAGTACCGTAGTCCGGCCAGTAACAAAAGATGCGTATGATTGCGTTTGAATGCATTATGTTTGAATGAAATATGTTTTTGCACACGAAAAGTGTACTTATTTGTAATTTAAGTGTTTTGTCATTTAATTATTCTTGAATTAATATTATATAACATCCAACTATATTTTAACAGACAAAGCAAATAAAATTAATTTGAAAAATTAAACACGAAATTTTTTCGTACAACTGATCCAGTTAAAAATATAATATCAAAAAAGAGATATTCAATAAAACACTAGTTCCTTGTATACCTCATACACTACAATAATTATATATTGATATAATTTTCTAATGGATACTATACACGTTTAAATCTTATAGTTTTTGAAAAAACAACAGACTTTCACCAATTAAATAAACATTTTAAAACATTTCAATTGAATGCATGACTTCCAAACTCATAACAAACGTCTCCTATAGTTAATATAGACAAACAACAGACAGGTAATTCAATGTTTTCGATTTCAGCTTCGAGTTTTCAAGTTAGCGAAATCGTGGCCCACGCTGAATCTTTTAATATCCATTATGGGTCGAACCATTGGTGCATTGGGTAACCTGACGTTCGTGTTGTGCATAATCATATTCATATTCGCCGTCATGGGTATGCAGCTTTTTGGGAAAAGCTACACAGGTAAGTTTACCCGTAATATCGTTGACGATAATCACAATCCGAAACCGAATCGCAGTCAACATTACGATCACGTTAGTTTCATTATTACAACGATAATTTTTATTTTCGCAGAGAAAGTACACTTATTCAAAGACCAAGAACTGCCCAGGTGGAACTTCACTGATTTTTTACACTCGTTTATGATAGTATTTCGCGTGTTGTGCGGCGAATGGATCGAATCTATGTGGGACTGCTTACTCGTCGCCGAATCGACGTGTATACCATTTTTCTTGGCTACCGTTGTCATCGGTAACCTCGTGGTATGTACCGCGGTAGTGTGAACTAGGCAGTAGTAGTGTACGCATTACAAATTTGATTGACAACTATGGCGGACAGGATCCCGCGGCATCGACAACGACCGCACGTATAACCATCGACCATTTGTTTCAGGTGCTTAACCTTTTCTTAGCGTTGTTGCTGAGTAATTTTGGCTCATCCAACCTGTCAGTGCCTACGGCCGACAGCGATACAAACAAGATTACCGAAGCATTTGAACGCATTGGCCGATTCAACAAATGGGTGAAAACGCGTATAATGGACTTTCTTAAAGCACTCAGAGCGAAACTCACCAATCAGATATCGGTTCAGGCGTCAGGTGAGGCCTGCCTAAACTACAGTTGGGACCAAGGTTAATCCCTTATTGCCTTTCAAATGACAAAGTCATGATTTTTGTTTTTTTTTTCGATTTTTTTTTTTACGTTTTTTTATCGAAGCTTCGCAGAATATATTTCTTATATGTATATATATATATATATATATATATATATATATATATATATATATATACATTTATGTGAATATCTGTGTATTTAAATTAATGCATGCGTTCTTTATGTATAAATAAGTATATACATACAATGATTCTTATACTATAAAATTCTTTATCTAATATTATGAAATTAGCTTAACACTAATAAATTAATCAATGATTTAACTGATTTAACACGATCATTTCGCAATTGACATAAAAATATTCTGAAGTACATCAATAACAATATTATTATTATTATTTATATTATGATTTCTATCAAACAATTAGCATGCCAATAGTCATATTGTACAAGTAGCACGCATGTGTATACTTTTAACCCGAGTGTAGTGTAAATGCGTAATAATACATTACGGTTTCAAAATTTACATATTATCACTAACTTATTTTATTATTTTGTGTATGCATTTGCGGACTATATAGGTCGTGATAGAGATATAGACTTGCCTGCTGACGAGGTTATTGTAGACGTTATAACACCTTTTAAAGACAGTAAGGAGCCAGTGGAGATGACAATTGGTGACGGAATGGAATTTACTATACCAGGTACTTAAATATGAGTTTTTCATTTTTATCCTATTCTATTCTATGAACTTTGAGAGGGTCATCGTACTCATTTCAATGCAGTTTTTTAATAATTGCGTAAAACTGACATAATTTTATAAAATCACAGTAAAATGTACGGCATATCGGTTATCAATAAAATCAAATTTTCGTATCTTAAAAAAATAATAATTCTAGAGACAAGACATTTTTACTGAATGCTATATTACTATTTTTTATAGATGGTATAATTTTTAATAGATTTTTTTTTGTGTCATTTAAAAAATATTGAAATTTTCATGTAAACTTTATTTTTTTTAAAAATTTCACTAAAATATTTTTATTTAACTAAAAGTAAATACATATTTATTACTGTTAAGAAAAAAATTTACCTTAATAACAACAAAAAAAGTTTACGAGGGTTTAAATTATGATTAAAATTATGATTAATTCAGTAGCCAAAAAACTAATTATAAGATAAATATTTACTTAATATTTTTTTTATCTTCGTTTTAATTTTAAAAGAAACAAATTTCAAGCAATAATTAAGATTGTTTTCTTTATTTATTATTTTTTATATAGGAACATCACAAATGATAACTTATTAATTGCATTTAAAAATTTAAGTAATATTTTTATAGCAAGTTAATTTAGTTATTAATAAGTCTCATTATTTTAAACGATTTCAAAGAAATAATATATGCTATGAATATTAAAATATTCTTACCTATAACATAAATTTGATAATGAATGACTTAAACTCAGTATTATTTTCTTAATGTAAAATAAAATAAAATATGTAATAATTGTAATTGATTAATTATAATATATATTGGTATGTACATAGGAGATGTAAAGCAAAAAATTAAAAGGAACCAAGTTGCGAATTCAATTGGAAATCACCAAGGAAACAAAGTTGGAAATGACTACAAAAAAGAAAGTTTCGACCTGGATAGTTTAAAGTAACTAATTATTTACTAATAATGTAAATTAATGCTGTATTATTTGAAATTATCTTTTATTTCTAATAATCATTAATATAAATTACTAAATGTTTTTATATTGATGATTTTTTCCACTTTTTTTTCAGATGCTAGCATATAATTAACTCGGCTGTTAGAACTGCTTCAGTCGGCTACTCACCATGCTGTTTAGGAAAACAGCTCACTTTCTCTCTTTTTTCCTAATAAATACAATGAACAAAAAAAAGAGAACCCAAACAAAGCACTGAGCAATTTAAGTTTCTAACATTTGTCTCTGTAAGAAACACCATAAGTAAATTACACTTACATCGTTCAATGAAGAAAAATTGCGATATTTTCTTCTTGACTACTTACTAGGGATCGAATTATTGCATAAAAGAAATATATTTATGTTTGTTTCATCATGGTTATTATTATTTCTCTCGAAGTGAAAATAAATTACTTTTCTATATGCGTTTTTAAAACTGAAAAAAAATTCTAACTAAATTAAACGCTTCGGCAATTGTACATTTCGATCCCTACTGTGCAGGATGTGATGTTTTACGCATGTTTAAATATTTACAATGCACATGCACTTACAAAAGCCTGGGGTGTTTTTTTAGGTAGGTCTGTGAAAGAGACATCGAAGAGCTTAAGCTATACTCGCTAAAGTATATTCACACTTAACTTATTGTATACATTTATACTGAACGTCATTTTGGTAACCTAAATAATAAAACCAACTAATTTAGTATATTTTAAGCTCGACACGCTTTTAAATGTTGTAACACATAATATAGTTAGTTCATCCGGAGAAAAACAGTTTCGGCTAATATAGTCTAATAGTCTGTAAATAACAAAAATGAACCAAAGTAACTGGCTAAATACGTAAACAAATATATATATACAGAAAATCAGGCTTTATTCGACAGTCTTTTAACAAAAATATATAATATGTAATATTAATAATAATAAATACGCAGTTTAAAATAAAATGATCTGTGATATTTCTATATACGTCGTATCTGTGATTGAATTTTTGTTTATTTTCGCCCGTTTTTGTTTTGTTTGTATTTTGTTTTTTGTTCACGGACGAACATTTTTTCAAGAGAAAGTAAATTAATGTACATAACAAACGAATTTATTTGTAAAAAAAATAATAATAATAATATTTATTAATAAAAATAATATTGATGATTAAATAATCTACTTTGTAGACACTATTAATTTTCGTTTTGGCTTGACCTTGGGTTGCTTTTATCCAGTCCTATAAATAAATATATAAATATGTAATATCTATATTCATATGGATGTAAATATCTATATACATATGCATATAAATATAAATATATATATATATATATATTTACAAACGTGTTTAAAATATGGGATTAAACATTGAACAAGTGAAAACACCAAAATGAAAAGAAAGATAACATCAAGCGCTTTAGATAAATTTAATTTTAAAATTAATAAATTGATTTGAACATAGTTTGTAGTTGAATTTTTATAATCTGTTAAGTTTTTAGTTAAATATTTAATGTTTTAGGTAGAGTAGAGTTACCAAAATGACGTCGCTTTCGCTTAAAAAGCATTAAATAAATATCAATTTTTTGAAGAACATATAACATAAAAAAAAGCGTAAATACCTAATGTGATCTTTTTTCTTAAGGAACAAAAAAAATAAAAAACGCTTGACCCAATCACTCGAAAAACGCACAAATTTTGTAACGATGCATTTTTATTGGAAAACAACCAATTAAACTCGTCCTATACGCACTGTTTTTTTAGATTCAAAATTTGTACTACTGAAAAAAAATTATTGAAAAATCGTTTTTGTTACACTTTTGAATATTGTTGAAAGTTTTAAGATTTAGAAAATATTGTAAAAATTGTTAATTGATGGATGATAAGTATTGTGTAAACACCCTATTACCTAAAATTTTTTGCTTAAAGGGTTAAAAAAATTATTGTTTTTATGCATACTTTTTAAGAGACGTTATTATTATTGTTTCGGGGTAAATTTATACTAAACAAATTTAATAACCAAATTAATTTAATTATATTGTTATCTGCTGTATCTGAGACAAGGACAACGCTGAATAATGTAAACAAAATATATATGCGACGTTTTTCGCACCGGCATGTCCTTCCCTCTTTGACGGTACGAAAATTGTCGGATAATATTGCCTACGGATATTTTTTAATAATGTACATTTCATATTTTGCAATAATTTGTTTGTCTCTTTAATAAAAAAAATTGAGAAAAAATATTTGTTTTTTATTGAAACCACCATTTTGAATGATAATTTATTTAAACGACAAGAAAGAATTATTAAGTGAGTTACATCCTATTTAAGTTAAACAAAACCATTATTTATAATACATGCCCTATGCAATAGTCTTTAGAACAATATAAACAGACTTTGGAAAAAAATTTTACACTCAAAAACTATAATTTTATATTTTATGCAATTAAAGATAATTGAATTTAGTATTATCAAATAAAAATATTTAAAAAAAGAATTAAAAAATATTATGTGGTTTTTAAAATGAAAAAGTAAAAGATGAAAATGATTAACAAAAAACCAATTATTTGAGTTTAAAACCTCAATCATTGTGATTGGTGTGAGACCTCTAAATTTATTAATTCCAGAGACGTTATGTCATGACCTGTAAAACCAACCATGAGTGCCAATACATTACAAATATAGTGCTTATCTATTACAAATACTATTATACACAATAGCCAGGCTGCTATAGGTTTCTTTATTTTTAATCAATATAGGGTGCATCTTTCCTACGTATTATCTTTATAAATATAAAAAAAACCGACAAACACCAATATACTATTTTGCTTATAAATATTTTTGAAGGTACCTAATATATTACGAGTAGCTATAAAAGTATACTATTTTATTTCATTTTTAATATGGCAAATATCAATTGTTGTTTTACAAATCACCATAGATACATTGTTCTTATATTTGTCAACAACCACTAATACTATACTTTTTAATATTTCTATTAGAAACTGTTACCTAAAATTATGATATTATTATTAATTTTCTTTTGTTTACTTTTATAAAATATTTATAGACTATCAAAACATCATCTGCAGTCATATAGATTATTAATTTATTAATGTTGACAAACATGTCATCATCGTTCGAACAAAATGAAAATGATCGCTCTCGACACCAAAGTAAAATACCCACTACATCGAATAACTTAACATGCCAAAAAAATAATAATTTACAAATCATACTACCAAACGGTGTTCCTTCTACTTCAACAACTCCGTATGAAAAGCTGTCCAATTCAGAAAATGTTAGTTGTGCTCATATCAGGTAATAATAATAATATGAATCAATAAAAATAATAATACTGATTTATCTAAATCTATTTGAACACAGAAAACTAAATTTTATCAAAAACTCTGACAAAAACATTCCTGCGCCATCGGAACAGTTTCTTGTAGGGGTTAACTGTGCGGTAATAAAACTGTTACAAGAAATTGAAAAAAACCATAAATTTTGTGCAAATAAAAATTCAAACAGACTGCCAAAATCAAGAAAGCGTCGATAGTTAAAATTTTAAATAAGAAAATATATAACTATTTTGTGTCACTATAGCTCATCGAATTCAAAGTGTATGATAAACTAGGAACTACCAAACATAATTTTAAATTGAAAAACATTTATAATAAATGGAATTTTTAGTAATAACATAATTTTTAAATTAATTATTACTTATTAGTTCTCCTTCTTGGGTACTACCAACCACTAAGATTATCCCGTCAAACAACCAATCCTCTAGGACTCTGTCAGCTGCTTTTGTTTTTCAATCTGGGCTAAACTTATTAGTTAGATTTAAATAATATATCACATAATTATTAGTTTAAAATATCACCGTATTTATGGTTATTTAACTTTTATGATAGTTTGTATTATTTATTAATATTAGTTTTTAAATAATTTGAGTGAACAGTAATACAAACAATTAAATTTTATTATTAATATCACTAATTTCCACTATTAATTATCCACTACTAATTATCATTCATTAAGCTAGCAAGATTACAATTTTATTTAAATATTTGAGTAACTAATAATAGCCAAAATTATTGTAAGAAAAAAATACAGCTTAAAATCATACTTAAATTAAAACTTATATTGTTTTATTTACATTTTATCTTACATATAGACGTAGATAAAAATTTAAGTCTTTATAGACGAATGTGTATTTAAAACGAGAAATGTATGGTCTTACCATGCTGTGTGTTCTGTATACACGATTTCGATCAGAAGGATTAAATGGATCGTCACAATTATCAGAGGTTTCGGATAAAAATTGTAAAATAAAAGAGGATCATTTTATCCATAGTAGAATAGTACTAGAATAGTGATTTGTAAAAATTCTTTGCGAACAAATTTTCAAATTATATACATTGAATATTGACAAGTATTTTCGTTACTTGTCAGAATGTTTATGTTAAACGTAATAATATATTATAATCTATAGCAGGGATAAGCAACTCAAAATAATTACAGTGCCAATTTATATAGACCTTTTTAAATTTGACTGAGCAGATAAAAAAAAAAAAAAGAAAAAAAGAATAAGATCGTTAAAATTGACAATCAGCATTTATTTTATATACTTTAATCTTACAACTGAACCAATACCATAAAATAAGTATCTCATACCTATAAAGCTGCGTTAGCTATACTGTTATGGATATATATTATACTTAAACATTTAATAATTCAGGTGGCGTTCAATACCGTATAAAAATATAATATGTACATTTTTCCATCGACGTAATAAAATTAAAAACTAATAAACACTATAATTGTACGAAGTAATTTGAAAATCACGTGGGCCGCCTGTTGTCCACCTCTGATCTATGAGTATGGTACAACCAAACATAATACTGGTAACCTTAATATTTACTGTAAATAATGTTCCCAACATCGATTAATGTGAAAATATAATAGTTTTCGTGTATTTTATAATATATGAACATTACATTAGTAAAATTTATGAAATTTTAAAAAAAATATACATAATCATAGTTACATTAAAATATTGTGTATAAAATCCGTGAAGTTTTGTCTGAGTAATTGAACTTCATTGCTGGCTAAATAACACTATGCGTGAAAATCAAATAAATGTATAAAAAAAACTGAATGCAAGTCCTCTTTGAACAAACCCGCAATTAATAATACTATAATATAACACTTAATAATTTAATTATTATTATTAATTTTGTTTGTTTTTTTTTTTTTAAGCTCTCATGTAAACCTTATACGCTACAAATTATAAAACTTTATATAATATATAATATATGTATCACAGCAGTTGGCAATCAATAGGTATGTTGTATATAATATAGGAGTGTTAAAATTAGTATTGAGTGAAAATCAAATACATAACAATGTAACCGTAATTATGTTATACGTATAAAGCTTCGATCGTAATAAAAGTTCACCGCAATGATGATGATGATGATGATAATAATAATAATAATAATAATAATAATAATAATAATAATAATAATTATTATTATTATAATAATTATAATACTTATAATAATAATAATAATAACAATAATAATAATATCGTACAAAATACATTGCTTACGCAAAATACAAACGTGTGCGTAGCATCACCACGTGGTGGTCGATTTTTTATACGTCGGCTAGTCTTGAGCTTTTCGACGATGACCTCGAGTGGATGACCACCTTATGACCGTTCTTGGTGACGAACCCGTCACTCTCGACCAGTACCGCGGTTTCGCGGCCGTCCGGTGAGGCAGCACCGTCGCTCCTGTCCTCGTCGGCCGTCTGCTCCTTGGCAGCCCGCGCAAACTTGCGCCACGCGCTCTGTATGATTATCGCGCAGTACACCTCGCGCATGCGCCACAGCGTCGAGCTGATGGGCTCGTATCCCGCCTCCTCCGGCCGCGTCTGGATCTCGCCGATCTCGGCCACAGTCTCGATGATCGGATTGCCCTTGCGCGCGAAAAAATCCTTAGTCAGCGCGTCCAGTATGTCAACGCAGTAGATCAGGTCACCCTTGCAAATCGGTATGTCCATGGACACAATCTTATACTTGTTCGGCTTATGGATCTTCAACGGCGGCTCCAGTATGTCCAGAAAGTCGGACAGCTGGTCGTAGCGGATGTACCGCGTGCCGTCCGGGTCAAAGTGCTGCCAGATCTCGTAATACATGTCGTAGTCATCGTCCGTCAGCCCCTCCTGCACGTCCTCGGTTGCCTGCGAATAGTTCTCTAGGATCACCGCGATGTACATGTTGATCACGATCAGGAAGTTGATCACCAGGTACGACAGTAAAAACGCCGTGCCCACCGTGGTGCTTCCGCAGCTCCCGGTGATACCCATCTCCAAGTTGGGCTTTTCGCAGTTCTCTTCGTTAGTAATGCCATCCAGTACCGCGTCCCAGCCGGATGATGTTGACAGCTGAAAATTAAATGTTGAGCTGTAAAAATGTTCAGCGGAGTACAATATAGCGACGGACGATGATGACATAAATATAAGATAACCACGATGATGTTCGTCCTATCGAATTTGTTTGTAGGCAGAGGAGAGGTTATTTGATTTGTATAGCAAAAATTAGCCCAAGAGGATTACGTCCGTGTTTCCTGATCAATTTTTCATTTCTCTTCTCAAAGCTCTCCTCTCGCACACCCGTCCCAGTGTCTCATTTTCAATAAATTATTCCTCTTCATCACGAATAGTCACCTTACGTAAATAAAATATATCCTCCAATCCCATCTCAAGAAAAATGTCCACATGTTACTATCGATCGAGGACCGAGGCGATCGTCTCATTCGTAAATGCTTCTTGTAGTCGCTCAATATATACGCATACACATAGTGTCACATACTCGCTTACTGCTTCACGGGTAGCTTACCATGAACAGAAGTATCATCGACTGCCCGAACGTGCGGAAGTTGTAATCCTGGTCCAGGCCACCATGGCTGTCCACATTCATGAAAAATGACATACCAAATATGGCGAATATGAACATAACGAGAAACAGCAGCAAGCATATGTTGAACAGCGCAGGGAGCGACATGGCCAAAGCAAACAGTAGAGTTCTGATGCCTTTCGCTCCTTTAACCAAACGCAATACTCGGCCCACTTTGGCTACTCGGACAACTCGCAACAACGTCGGTGACACGAAATACTTGGAAATTAAATCGCTCAACACCAAACCTATAAACGAAATCGGTGTTTAAAAAATAGAACACAAAATAATACAGACGGGTTGGTCAGTTTTCTGAAATTCATCTTTTTTTATAATATTATATGATACACTTTGTAACTATTTGTTAACTATATTCAGTACATATTAATAATATGTGTTCTTATAGCATATATAAATAAACAATTTGTCATCATTCATAATAGTCTCAACTAATGTAGGTTTTATGCAGTAGAATAAAAAAACAGTTAATAGTTTGTGAGAGATAACGTGTTTTAAACAAGTATTGCTGCTCACAGCAAAGATATTCGTGTATTTAAAAATAAATATGAGTATTAAAATTAATGGTATACCTATGATATTCTATCGTAAAAATAATATATGTTACCTGCTAAAGAAAGTATAACCACAATAAAGTCGAATAAGTTCCACGGTTCTTTGAAATAATAATACCGCAATGCAAATATTTTTAGTAGACATTCCGAAGAAAATATAGCAATGAATATTTGGTTGAGAAGTTCAAGCACGTCCGTGAACAATTTAGTCTGTTGGTAGTGGTCGAGCGTCATTGTCAACATATTGAAGCCAATGAACAACATGATAAGCATATCAAATTTTTTATCGGTTACGATTTGGAAGACGATCGATTGTGGCTTCCACTAAATCACGTTAATGACGTTTAGTAAAAGATAAATGAAAAAAAATAACATTTAAAACAAGTGTATAGTTTAAGTAGGATTTACCCTAGGTCTAGGAATAGCTTTCAGTGGTTTTTTGGAACTCATTTTCTTCATAGCGTTGTAGTATTTCTTTTGGTCTTCTGTCATAAACATCTCAAGAGACGCACCTGAAACATTATCAATTCTCAGAAACATCGATAACATATTATTTATATTTAACATAAGACAGTTCATGAAAAAACATCTCAGTGCTGTTCAGTAGATTGTACTAAATAGAAAGAAATAATAACACGCAACAATAACAACCATAATAACATGCGTGAAGTTAGGGAAAAAAGGAAAGCCCCCCATCGTATCTTTTTACTGGGTATAGCACTCATTTTTAAAATAGTATGGTTGATTAGCACCAATTAAGCACTAAATAATGGTATTATAGCGGAAACTAGTACTCGAATTTTTCCACTAACTTCACGCACCTCACGCACGCACACACATTGTTCCTCCACTGTCTCAAAAAGTAAAAAAATTATAATATTTTGTATAAATACCTGTTTTCTTTTTTTGTTCATTGAAATTGTCGATAATCACACCAATAAATAAATTTAGAGTAAAAAACGAGCCGAAAATGATAAAGAACACAAAATAGAAGTACATGTAATTATTTATTTCACGAATCGGTTGTTTCCCGTGCAACTGAAAAAAACCAATTAATTCTAATATCAAGATACATCGAACTTATAATTCTTACAGACCCAACAGGGTCCTTTTTTGTGAGAATATTTTAACATCAGAGACTAATATATTATTTCGACTGTTATCATTAAAAAAAAACTTAATTAGAGTATTAGATGTATGGAACATGGCGCGTCGTATCGCTAAATACTCAGACGGTCACCCATCCGAGCTTTAGCTGTGACCAGAAGAGTGGTATAACCAAAGATTGTGCCATTCTCTAACAAAGTGTGTTTAACAATAAGAACTATTTTGAACATTAACACGCTTACATCTCTCGAATCAACGGCGTCTCTCATGATTTCCATCCATCCGTTAAATGTGGCCACTTGAAAGAGACAGAGGTACGCGTTTCCCACGTGATCGAAATTCATTTTGGAGTTTTGCCAGGTGTAATTCTCGGCTATACAGGCGTTTTTGTCGGGTATGATTTCGTGGTTCACCATTTTATCGGTCTTGGGATCAACGCACTGTGAAATAACACGAATATTCCGAAATATTAAATTCCTTTTACTCCTCTATTTTGATGTTACCGTTATCGCGGTCGACCGGTACACGGTACACTCACCTTACCTTGTAATATTTACCGGCGAAAAGCTGCACGCCCATTATGGCGAATATCAGCCAAAATATCAAGCAAACCAGCAGCACGTTGAAAATACTCGGTATGGCCTGCACAAGCGCGTTTACGACCACCTGGTACAATACGACACTGTGGTCAATCGGAGTTCAATAATAATTAAAAAAAAAATATTTTAGTTAGTTATAATCGAAAGAACTAAGACCGTAACAACGACAAAGTGTTACAAGGAAAACGCTACGACGTTAACGCGAAAAAACATGCTCTGTTGTTCGATATGTATAAGTACATAAGTCGTACTTTGTGGTATACCGTGCAAAGGATGTGTAAACCGCATGCAACATACGACATAATATTGACAAGCCAAACATTTACGTGCGTTCATATCAATAAAAAAAATAATAATAATAAAAATAATTCATATGTAGCTCTAAGGGTATGCGGGTCTTCGTCTACTTGGAATGGCAGCCAATTTCGTACGATTAATATGTTTATTGTTCGTTGCCACAAACGCCTGCGCACGTTTACGTATAACTTGACACGTTTATAACGACCGAGCGCAAGCCTTGTGTACGTATTATATATATATATATGTATATTGGTAGTTGAATTTATACTTATACATTTATATACTCGTATTATATACATGAAAAATTACAATGTTGCTATAGGCCTTAATAATTGAATATATGAAATGATCAGATGGTCGTTAATGACAATAAACTTATGGAACCTACACGATTTAAATTAAATACACTTTTTTCTACCACTACAGTGTTGCGAATATGTTTTACGAACTTGATAATAATATATATATATATATAAAATATTACACTATCGTAGCGTTTGAGGACAAATACCGAAACTAAAATAAATAAAAAAAATAAATGTATTTATATATATATATGTATATGGATTTAAACAATACAAATAATACTGGATATTAAGACGCAATTGGTTAGTACATTATTGTCGATCACATACCCTCATACCCTGCATTCTAGCCATAGCTCGCAGTGGTCGCAAAGCTCTTAGAGTTCGCATAGTTTTGAAAGCTTGGATTCCACTGGCTCCCAACAAGGCAGCAACAAAATTTATCAGGGATACCTGTGTGAAGTAGAGCCATAGAAAATGCACACATGTTATAGCAAAAGTTAAAATTAAAATTAAAATTATTTAGCTGTGAATTGATTAAACATGTTACAGACCCGACGTTTCAAGACATAATATGTTTATCTACGATTTTAATGTATCGAACACTTACTATGATTACGTAAATACGATTATTATAAACATGAGTATAATAATCGTAAAACGACTAGTAAACAAAAAAAAAAATAAAAAAACAAAAAAAAACCGTTTTTCGTAAATGTTATCATAACAGCTATGTAGATAGCATATGTAGAGAAATGACGTTCCAGACGGCCGATTTTGTCACGAAACAAATGCACACGCTACGCACACAAAAAATCTCAGGCAACAAATCACTGCAAATTAAATATTAATTTATCGCCGTGTAGCAGCAGTTATGTATGGCTTAGTATTTGGTTTTTGTGGCCACAAGAAAAAAATATAACAAACGCAGTATTTCATATATCATGTAAATATATGTATGTATGTACACAATGAAAGAAAATAACACATGTAGTGAGTAATAAGGTCCACATCACAAATTTTCCGGCAGCTCGTACTTACTCTCATACCCTCCCAACGAGATACGGCTCTTAACGGTCTCAAAGCTCGGAGAGTCCTCATTGACCTGAACGCTGGTATATCCGCGAACCCAAACCAAATCGCTGCCAAGTTTACTAATGACAACTACAAGACAATATTATAGCGTCCAAAAATGTACACATCAAATCGTGACGAAGAACTGCGGTGTTAATAATGTTTTGAATGCCTCTCAAAAATGATTAATATTCATATTATTAAGATTATAAATTTCGAATAACATTAATAATAAATTATCCAGCGACACTTATGTATGTATATTATACAATATACATAAATTTATAAATATGCGTATGCGATCATATATATTGTATTCCATATTCATATTATTATTATAAGACTGAGAAATTTTACCATAACGATTATGAAGTCCAGCCAACACCAAGCGTTTGTAAAATAATTACGAAAACCCAGTGCCAACCATTTGATTAACATCTCCAAAAAGAATATGACTGTGAATATCCGATCCATGTAATATAAAATATCTTGTAATACTGGTCGATGCTGAAGGTGTACGTCTTCGAGTGCCTTAAAAATATAAATAATAAACAATTAATTTCGAATGTTTTGAATAAATTATATGTAACTTGTATTTAAAAACACTATTGTGGTCAGTGGCTATTTAGTAAAAACTTTGTTCAATTTTTTTTCTTTTTTTTACAAATAAGTAAAAAGTGTAGCTTGAGGTCATTGATATTTAAACTGCATATAATATAATTATTAAACATTACAAAAATTCACATATACTTAAGTATTGAAAAAAAAGTCTAAGTTACACATAGTACTTCTTATCTCAAATACTATTATGTAGTTGAAACAGTAACTCATAAATTCACACTATCCATTGGTGTATTAAAATATAAGAGTAAATTATGTTAAAAAAAAACTTAAAAAAGTAAACATAAATTTTTACAATTTAACGGCATTATAATTTTTTACATACCAGCGCAAGACTGCTAAGTAGAATCATAGTGATTACAGCAGTTTCGAAATACTTATTCTCAATAAGTTGAAATGTTTTCAGTCTGAGCTGTCCCCATCCCAGCCAAAACGGCGTTTCATCGTCGCCGGCTAGGAATGGAAACTTTTTATAACAGTTCGGTGGGAAACAGTCTTCTGGGTACTCTTCTTCTTCGAAAACGTCCTCAACCATTTCGACCTGGCCTTGTTCTTTATACTCTTCATCGTTGAGTACATCTGTAGTGATACCATCGTTACCTTCCAAGCCTAAAAATCATACCAAGTGTTACTCAAATCAATTATTGTTATTGCTTGGTACCAGAGCCGAAAATCCCACACACCATGTGGATCAATTTCTACGTCCTCTTTACTAGGATCTTTTTTTTCTTCAGCGTTATGTAAACTTCTTTTACTTCCTCTATGACTTTCGCTATCGTAAGGATCGTGCTCGTGACTACCATAGGATTTTGTACTATAAGAAAACAAATAATGCATAAAATAAATAATCAATAGTATTTTTTTAAGAATTGATCGTGTAATTTTATTGAAATAATTCAATTTGGTATAGGCGTCAAATAACAAAAATGTTGTAAAACTAAGAGTAAAACTTTGACGTGTTCATTTCCGAAATTATAAATTATAAAATTACTCGATTAATACTCGCAACAGTGAAAAAATATTTCTTAAAAAAAATGAGTTGTAGACCTTAAAAGTTCCGGTATATAAACATCTTTTATCACATATTTAACAATAACATATAAGTTGATATGTTTTACTTTTTTCTTAAGAATAAAATTTACTTTAAAAATTATAAATATAAATACCTTCTTGTGTCGTATTCATATTTGTCCTTTAAGTAACAGTTCTCGTCGGTACTGCTTTGGTGCATGCCGAACGAATTGTACGAGCTACTCGTCGGCGGTTTTTTCTTTTTATTCTTATCCCCGCGTATCAGTAACTCCATTCCATCTCCTATGGTCACGTCTAGCTGTTCTCTTTTATTCCTATAAATTATCCCAGCGTCCAAGAGCTCATCTGCACGAAAAAATATACGTGTTCTACACAATTCAACGCCGCACGACAGTAACAACACGTAAAGCAAACTGGATACTGGTACTTACCGCTACTGTACATACTCATCTCGAACTTATTACGATCGCTTGACTAAACTATGTGCTAACAACGCTGATGATTACATTACAATTATTTTTGTTCGTCAACGAATAGAAGTAAAATGTTTCGTAGATAGAATGTAAATAACGCGAGAGTTAACCTACATTATGGACTGGACTGGAATCCATGTTATTGATTTTGTCGTTACTCCGAATGGTCGCGTGAGCGCTCTCTGAATACGTTCAAATAATTTAAATACGAAAACATTATAACCGTTTCGATTTTTTTGATTTTTTTCTTCCTGCAAAAAAATTACTATGTTATCATATAATAATAAAATAATATAATAAATAATAAAAATAATAATATATATATATATATATATATATATATATATATATATATAATTATAATCATATAATAACGAAATGTACGTATTAACATAGTATTTTAACATCTACATATAAATTATAAATAAAATATAGGTAATATTATTTTTTTTTATAATTCAACAATAATATATTATTGTTGATATAATGATATATCATTATATATCATGAATACAAATATAATTGTATTCGTTTTTTTTTTTTTTTAGAAATAAAATATAGATAATATTCAATAAAATTACGATTAATTTTATAAATAAAATATTATAGAATATTTTCATTCGAAAACGTCTTATTTTAATTTAACATTAATTTAACACAAATTCCAAAATACATCAGGCATGGCTCCAGAAGCAAGGGAAGTCAAGAGAGTCGCGACCTCCCCCCTTCTCAATTCTAAGATTTTCCCGTAGTAAAACTATTTTTTTTTCAATTCTATCAATATTTAATAACATTACTACATACATTGACAACTTAGTAAGCATCGCTATTGCAGAAAGAAGTTTTTCAACTATAAGAAGAGTAAAAACATGGCTTCGTTCAAGAATGATTGAAGATATGCTACCAAATTTATGTTTAACAAATGCACATAGAGATATTAATATATATAATTACATGGATGACGTCTTAGATATTTTTGCTAAAATTAAAAATAAACGTCTAAAATTTGCTACTTAAAACCTATTTTCCTTTTGAAGATTTTATCTAAGGACTTTAAATGTTCAAAATAGGTCCTTGAAGCCACGCTTTAAATGCGTGTTAATAATATAATTTTTATGTGAATCGTCAATGATAATTGTATATGGATACATAGTATGGTATAGTATAATATAGTATATTAATATTTATATGAATCGAAAAACAGTTGTATTAAAATAACGCAGAGTGGAGGGAAGTTCAACACTCCACCCCCCAAAATACCAGAAGAATATTATAAAAAAAAATGACCTAACTTCCAAATTTAATAATTACTTCAAGGTTTCCCACGAGACTTGCAAATACAATATATAAATATAAATAACGAGTAATAAAGCATGTCATTCTCCTCCCCGAAATGTTTTCCTGTGTTCGCCCTGAATTAAAAGCATCAATATTAAATTGATGCAAGATTAAAAAAGTATGGTTCTACAACTATCGTCAATCTGATAACAAAATCTGAAAAGATATGTCATAATTTCAGTATAAGCAATTCGGTAAAAACAACATTTTGGTTCGTCAACGTGATCGAATAGGATGTGGATCTCATCGTTAATTTTTTTTTCCGCCATGTGAATTGGGCCACGGACGGATCGTGAAGGATAATAAGAAAAGGATATAAAGAGCGAGGAAACTAAAAGTTTGATCCGTGCGCTTTTCTGCACGAATAGAAAATGTGTTTCGTAAAGAACGATAATGGATAGGAAATCGAACGATCACAAATGTTAATAAAACAATAATAATAATATATATTTTTGCAACATCACAGATCTTACATCAAAAATATAAAAATTGAGAATACAGTTTAAACAGCACCCCCGATAAGCAAAGCTTGTGCTGGGGGAGCAGTTCTTAAGAATTTAAATTAGAACAATATAATATAATACATTTGGTATTAATAAAAAACAAAATATAGGAATATAGTGGAATTTTCCTATTATAGTATTATCATTGATTATTCTATAATCAATGGTATTATATAAAATAATAAAAAATCATTGAATTTAAATGTAAATTGAATTAAAATAGCTTTATACGTATTGCACGTCGTGCCTAACATCGATCGACTGGATCGGGTCGAGGGAAGGATCGTCGAGTAGGTATCACATGTGCCAGAACACTGTTTGGAAACATAAGAAACACTAGGAACAACACACGTTCGACGGCAGTTTCCGTACACCACGACAACGTAGCTTGTACGGCCGGTGCGCACTTTGACCGATTAAAAGTCGAGCACGTTGTTGGCACGTTACACGCCCGAAACGGTGAGACGGCGCGGGACGGAGGGCACGCGGTTTGTACACAAACTTGTGGTCAAGCGGCCGTGACCGAACGGTTGGAAGACCGTCCGAACGGCGCACCGGTCACACAGGTGTTGGCGCGCGCACTGCCGACGGTCGGGTCCGGGACACGCGGAATGGAACCGGCCGCCGCGGTCGGCAAACCGCGGGACACCGCGGATGGCCGCGCGTCGCTAAGCCGCCGCGCGAAACCTCTGATGTACTTGTGTCAGCTGTACGGCATGGGCAGCTGTCGCGACGAGTTCCCGACCGCGCACCGCGTGCTCACGTTCATCAACGCGTCCGCCAGCGTTTACATATACTACACGTTGGTCGAGTACGTGAGCAAGTCGATGCCGTCCATGTTCGAACTGTCCACGATCATGTCGGTGGCCCGGCTGAACGTGCGCGGCCTGGTGCCGCCGCTGATGATCGTCTTGTTCAGCGCGTACCGCGGCCGCGTGCTGGACTTCGTGGCCGCACTCGACGACCACGTGCCGTCCGCGCCGAGCGTCCCGCTGTGGCCGTTCGCCGCGCGCTTCGTCGGCTGGCTGGCGGCCACGCTCGCGGCCGAACTGATACAGCTGTTCGTCTACTTCGACCGCGCCGGCTACGAACATTTCTTCCCGCTGTCCATTGTCCGGTTCGTCCTGACCAACTTGTGGATCGTCACGCCCGTGCTGCTGCACGTGTTGCTCGTGTCGCTGGCGTCGCGCGGCCTCCGCGACATCAACGGCCGCATCACCTCGTTCGACTCGTGGCGCGCCGACCGGTCCCGGTGGACGCGCCTGCAGCGCTCCGTAACCCGACTGACGGACACCACGTTCGGGGCCATCATCGTCCTGTTCGTCATCTTCACCATCACTGACCTCACGTTCTTCGCGTTCATCTGTCATCTTTCCTGGATAAATGGCTACTTCGCGGAACTCGTATCCTACTTGTTCCTAATGTTCGTCCGGGCCTCGTTGACCTTTCAACTTTTTCGCACGTGCCACCGCTGCAAGACCGAAGTAAATATAATTATTTGCACTTCGGCCCCGTGAGCGTAAACAGAAAAGCCCTATCGTTTAGATATTCCTTGGACGAAACTACCCACACTTTTTTTCCCTGTGGATTTTGAGGACCTTAAGCCTCGTGGCCGAGAGCGCACTACGAGCGACGACCGGAAAATATTATCACTTTAAGGTCATTCACTGGGTGGTGATTACGCAATTTTTCAACCCCATTTCACCAACATCCAACATGCTGACACCTTCTTTGACTCAATTCTTACGAATCTCTCATAAATGCCTTCCTCGTTAAAACTGAAAACCAATTTTCACGTTTTTCCTCTTCGGAACTTTAAACAATATCTTAATACATGGTCAACAAATCTTTTTTGATTTCCTTAACCTTAAATTTTACAATATCATAATCGTTTACGTTTATGACTCTCAGTCACACTTAATCTCATTTAATCACTTAAGCTCAGATGATTATTATATAATAACAACAATGATGATTTTTAACAATTATTTCACAATTCATAATGATATTACGGATATATTGTTTATTACGTCAGTTTGTAAATTTAATAATATTACAAATGATAGTTAAAATATGGGAAATACTTATTACCTATACTCAACACTTTACCGGTAACATATGTACTATTTCAATTTTAAAATAGTAATTGAATTAATTAAATTATACATTAAGATTACTTTTTGTAAAAAAAATAAACATGTATTTAATAATCATGTGAAATGAAGTAAATGTATTGAAGAGATTTTATTTATTTTTAAAATATTTAAATTTTTTTATTATATTCGATTTTTCTCTTAGCTATATTATCCCGATAAAGTGAATTATAGGTGATTTATAAAACAAATTAGTATTCTAATCTGATCGCAATGGACGCCATATTTTTTAACTGCTTATAGTGTTAAAAAAGTTAAAGTTACATGGTACTTAATCTTACTTCAGTCGTAAAACACGGACACCCCCCATTACATAGAATGTAAAATCGTGAGTGAAGTCAAAGGCATGGTGGCCAAATGATAGCGCATAGGACCATGAGTATTGTATTTTAGTTCAAAACTGTAAACGAGCTAGTGATCCATATTAACAAGGTCCTTTTATTTCTCTTTATAAACGTGTTATTGATTATTTCGCCTTTTGATAATATCGTAATTTACATAAATATTTTATTATATTTGTTATATCCTTCATTCTTTAAACACTTTATCATGTTCTTTTTAATTTATATAACAAACTTATCCTATAAGTTTGAAATATAATAAATATATTAAATTTCTAATTCTTAAATTATTATACGTAATAGATGAAAAGAACACAAACAATTTTGAGTGGAACGAAAATAACATCTCATTCCGATTATAAAGAAGTATGGACAATTAAAATATATAGTGTTGAATAAGTTCTTAAGGAAATCATTATCAATCTGATTTTAATAATATCATTATGTTTAGTTTAAACACACTTCTCTGTACATGCTACACACTGATTTCAGCTTCATGCCTTGCAGAGTCTTTGAAATAACGTATAAAAACTTAGCTACAGTAAGTATATTTTAATATTTTTTCGCAAAAAATTAACTAAAATATAATTTGTTTATTGATATTTTAGATAACTGCAATAATTGTGGCTTATTCAACTTTCCAAATACAATTTAAACATAATTAATTGAACCTTACATTATTGTAACAACTATATAAAATACAACATTTATGTAAACTCAAATATTAATACAAATATTTTTTGGTAGAAACCAACCATTTAATAATAATTGATAATAAGCTATATTAAAATACTCGATTTTTTAGTATTGTAAATAAGACTTAAAGAAAATGATTGTGATAAGGTAAAAATGTATTGGGAAAACATTCTATCTATATTTATTTTCTGTTTGTACAACTTCCGTCAAATTACGTCAAAATGTCTAATCGAATGGGACAAATATGGTCGGTTTATCAAAAAAGTCCATGACTGCACACGAGATTCGTGAATCACCTCAGTAACTTTAAGATAATATTAGTGCCACTAGAAACTAAATTACATTTTTAAATTTATTTAAACTAATTTTATTGATTTATTTCTTATATAAAATAGAACTTTAAAAATGTTATATAAAATCTAATTATATCATTAGCGTATTTTGTATCTAAAAGTTTGTTGGTCTAATATTACATTAGTATTTTGTGAATAAATAATTAAATTGATCAGTTACTTATGTTAATTGACTGATTATAACTAATTAATTTAACAATAAATCAATAAATCAATTTTATTAGTGTAAAGAAAATAATAGATACTGGCCACAAAATACTGATGTCACTGTTATTTAAAACTATTATTAGTTACAATAAAAACAATATTCATCACATTTGTCAAAAAATATTTGATTCCGAAAAAACATTCCTTTTGCTTATAACATTTATAAACTAATTTAATTTATAAACTAAACACAAACCAGCCCTTGAGTGAAAATATCAGGTAATACTATACTTAAGAGTAGATAATTATAGTAGTTTTATGTTTTGTCACGTAAGACTCATAAAAAAAACTTGTCATTAAATAATATTGGTAAATTGTACTCAGATCACCGTTTTTCGTATCCAAAAATTCACTAACACCATTATAATAAATTGATCTTAGTCAATTTTTGATATAATCACACAAACACCACCGATTTTCAAACCTAAAATGACAAATAAATTTTGAAAAAATTTTGGTTTTTCGATGACTTATTCAGTAAATTTTTTGCGAAGATTGTATATACATTGAATTTCAAACAATATTTTCACAAGATACATATAATATATAACATTAATACAAATTAAAACATCGAAAAATTAAATTTTAAACAACGATTGAAAAAAGTACATAATATTTATATATCACATGGTGTATTTGTTGAAAATTAAAAATCTAATTATAAACATGGACCATTTTTTTAGTTATACATAGTACACGGTAAAATAGAAATTCCGATTTTGCAACACTCCACCTCAACATACTCCACAACTTATTCTCCTCCTCCAAGCTGCTCCCGCCACCACAGCTATTACATTTTTCACCACCATCACTACTGACCACCATCAACACCACCAAAGTTCAGTTTTCTTTCTTTTTTTTCGGTTTTTATAACAAACGATATCTCCTGTAATTATACTTAAGGAGATTACAAGTGATTTTGCCCAACGATGTTTTTTATTTGATAATACATATGATTACGTATTTGAAAAAAAAATGAATAAGCAGCAAGTGGAAGAGAAGTTGTAGAGTATGTGGAGTGCTCTAGAATTGACATTTCTATTCTACAATATATTTTTTTATTGAAAAAAAAAATGTTTCAAATTCATATCAGTATAATAAATAAAGAAAATATTAAAATAATGATAATTAGGTATTGGAGAGTCATAAAAAACTTTCAAAGGATAAACGAAAAACAAAAGAAGATAGTTGTGATAAGACTTTTGATATCAAAAAATGTATTTATTAAACTAAGGCTATAGCAAATAAAATCAAAATATTAAAAATACTATGTTGAAAGTTACATTATTAAAGTAAAATTTAAAAATAAAATTAATTTTAATTAATTGTTCTTAAAGATAATGGAAAGAGTTACTTGTGATAAAATTATTTCTTGCATAAACAACTCAATTTCTATCACTGAAAAATTGATTGAGTTACCTTCTCCGGTTCAATCAAGAGGACTGCCTGTAATGGCCCCCATCTATCGTATACCCAAAGATAGAAAACGATTTACTTATTTGTCGTATTATCCAAAGATGGAAGATAAACCTACAAACAATTATCCTTTAGGTGTTGAAAAAACTACACGCAGATTTTCATCAAACATTATTCAAACAAATTCATCAAGCTTACCATGTAAGATATAAAATATATATATATATATATATATATATATATATATATATATATTCAATTTTGATTGCAGTTATTCAATTATAATGAAATAATTACAATTCCTTAATATAATGGATTTAAAAATTATTATAATATTCGAATCAAGTTATAATATTAGTCAAACAAAGTTATTGTAATAGGAAATCATTATATACATCTTTTGCCTCGAATAAAAAAAATTATTTTCTACGTATCAATATTTTAAAGATAGAAACGACAATTTATATAATATTTTATTTAATAGTTATTAATGATTACAATATTATTGACTTATCATAAATTAATTTTAAACACAACACAATGCATTAATTATCAAAACAAATATGAAAAACAAGATTTTTATTGGCTCATTTTTTTTTTTTTATAGCTCTCACCCAAAGATTTAAGATTCCTGAAACTCCACAAAGACCGAAGGAAACATCATTCTTAATAAAGCCGTATCATCCAAACGTATGTTTTAACTTATAATTAAAAAAAAAATAGAAATAAATTTTTAATATCTTTAATATTAATTTGTTGGTTTTTTTGCAGTTTTATCAAGACAATTATGATGATATTCTACAAAAAAGTAAAAAGACACATGCCGAGTTTAAACCAAAAAAAGAAGAAATATTGGGTAAGTCTATTCAAATATTTATAATTAATACGTCTTATTAATGTATTTTTTAAATATGTTTCAGAACCAGCGCACTATACCTACGTTTATCATACTTGGCCAGAGCCCAAAGGATATTGTCCGAAGTATATCTTAAAGAAATTTATAGTTCCTTCCAAAAATCATCGTTCCAATTTAGCCAATCCATCAAAATGATTATATATTTTGTATTTTTTTTGACTTTTTTTTGTTATTAATTTGTTCATTTTTTTACGAACATAATGTTTAAAATCAAATTTTGTAATTTATTGTCATTGAATTATAAACGTGTTAATTACATTCCATTAAAACATTGGGATTTTTAATTATTAGTACATTTTATTTCCATTGATTTTTCGTGTTCAATTTGTCTACATCATACAAATATCAGAGAACCCCGGTGACCGAAACTTCTTCCCCTATAATTATAGTGAATGTAATGCGTGAATTATATTTTGTTCATATTGTTGTCAGTGTTGGGCACAAAATACTTAAAATTTATCTTGATAAAGTAAAAATGTATTAAAGATATATAAAAGATAATATAAAAATAAAAAATAAAAAAGATGAAAACTGTATTAATTTGATTTTATTAACTATACATACAAATATATTTATATATATTATAAACATATAGGTACATAATAAAAAGTATATTTAAATACAACTACTGATTAGTGGCACTGAATAAAATTGAAACTGCCAGTTCAAATAATTAGATTTACTCACCCACCCCTTCCAATTTACCACACATTCAAATACCAAAACATTTTTTTAACAATCTTTAATAATTAAAAATGTCATCTAATATTTAATTATTAAATATACTATTTTAAATAGAAAATATTTGTCAAGTAATACATAAAAAATATATTTAAATTTTTTAATGATAGTTTTTATTTTTTTTGTTTTTAATATTTCAATTGTCTAGGGCCTAGACTCTAGGCAATTCAGTTGAACTACCTGGAGTACGTGTACCATTGTTGAACGATTATTATAGCATATTGTTGTAATCATTACTCGCGCGTCGAACTCACCCGTACTTGTCAATATGCATCGATTTCCGATTTTATCGAAAATATTATCACTGCGTAGTAACTTGGCGATTTATCATACGGTCATCCGATTCCCATTTGCATCAATATATTAAAAAATGTACAAACCTTAACATTTTGATACCTTTTGTAATTTATTACCATGTGCGAAGTAACAATATGCATTTTTATTATAACACAAGCTTCTAGCAGTTTATAACGATAAAATACAATTGTCTGTTGATTCTGCAGTTAAACTGCGTATTGGAGTTGTTTTTACTGGAAATACTTAACATCCTTTAATCTGAGCAAACCCGTCAGAGTCCTGAAATTTCTTGAAATCTGGACATATAATATACATTATTATTATAATACCTAATATAGGTACCTATATTATATAGTATAATAATATATTGTACATTTTATCCATAATTTTCCAATCAATGTTAATCAGTCTTTGAATAACATATTCCAGTTATGCGAGCAACATTCTGAATAAATCCAGAATTAAAAATCTGTTGGGAATAATTAATTGGAAATAATAATGATAATAATATTAAAATATTAAAAATAATATTCATAAATGTTTTACCCTATTTTTCATATCATAACCCCCTTAAATACATGTCTTCACACGCCTATATGTGTACCTACCGAATTGTGATGTCTAACTAATTAGGTAAAAAAAATAATAATTATGGCTGTAGAATGAATTGCGAAAATTCAAAAATTTAAATTTTTTCTTGTCTTATAACAACTCATTGGTTATAATTAAGATAAAGTGTCATCAAAATGAGATCATACAACAGATAATTATTTCTTCAGCTATCTAGATAAGATAAAAGATAATTAATTATTTATCTAGATAATGCCCTTCGCCGATCGTTATGTTCTTTGTATTTGTCTAGTGACCGTGGTTGTCACGTTTTCTTGTGTAGCTAAACAACGAAGGGGTTATACGAAACATACTTGAAACGCGGACCTCAAGTATCCAACGTTGTTTATTCGTTCCCGGTTTTGGAATAATACAGGACAAATGATGAACCAATGCCGATGCAATAAAATTTCGAAACACATTACGGCCACAGCCGAACGGTCATGGAGTGTTTGTCTACGCGCATTATGACGGTTAAAATGTCCCGGGAAGTGCCCTAACAGATGATTAGAAGCATTTTCGGTAAAAATGGCGGCGACTTTTGTCCGTGTTTACTACTCGAGCATGTTATAATATTCTTGTCAGACCGTGGTGTTCAAGATACACTATACTGCCATGACAGGCGGCGGTGCGACGAAACTTATGCTCCATAGATGAATATTTAGTCACATTCGTAGAGAGCCTTAAAATGTTTGTCTTATCTATTAGACAGATTATTAGACAAACATTTTTAGACGCTTCGACCTACTAACTAGTAGCTACTCCTACATTATTCTAGTTGAGGCACCAAATATATACAGGTAATAGAAACATACAAATATAAAATATTGAAAAGCTACTCATTTCTTTTTTTTTTATTTTAATTATATAAATCTTTTCCTTTATTACCTACAAAACATACTTAGTGAAAAATCAAATAAAACACAAGCATAACTTTCAAAACACAGACAGGTGTTAAAAAAGAACTACACAAAAGTCGATTCTAATTGGATCCGACATTAGATAAAAAAAAAAAAAACCAAAAATATTAAGGATTCACCAGATTTAAATATTACCAAATATTTTACTTGTAAATTTTGAACTTGAATTAAAGAAAAAATTTGAGTCGCCACCCTCTAGAACAGTGTTTCCCAAACTTCTTATCTTTACCGCCTACTTCCAAAAAAAATATTGTTACAAAAGTATTCAATGAAAAATGAAATTTATTATTTATAAATATATATATATAGGTACAAATGAAAAAAAATATCTTAATGAGATGGATATGGTTGGTGTTTTGCTAGAAGTTCATTGATATTAGGTATGATTTTCGTAAACAGCATTCTGTACCCACAATTCTGTACATTCTGTACCTATAAGTACCCACAATTAGTTGTTTGTAACGGTTGTCTTTTTTTAGTTAGTAGAATGGTTACTGCACTAAATCCACGTTCAATCAAGTAGAATATGTTCACTGTATAAGTATTTATGCCTATATATGTTACTGACAATATGTATAATCCGGTATTTTGCAAAATACCAAAAATCACTCGGCAATATACATAATACGACCTTTACCTAGGTATTATGTATAATGCCAATCGTGGAGTAAGCAATATGAAAAAAACTAACAAAATTGGACATCCCCTATTACCAACGACTTCACTTGCCGTTTATCATAAATGTGCGTTCACGATTTAACGCAATAAAGATTAATATTCTTTTACTACCTACTATAATAATAATTCTGAGATTCAATATTGAACGTACTAATAATTTTATTACAATATCGTAATTTTTTTCGTCATTTTCGTGTCTCGTTTTGGTGTTACAACTATAGTATATGCATACGATTTATATGAAGTCAAATTTTTATAACCAACTACAATTTTTTTTTTTTAAATTTGGCCACTAATACTAGTTTTTTATCTGATGAATAGTATAATGAGTTGATAAAAATTGAATCCACGAGAATTGGCCAAGGGTTTTTAAAATGTGTTTGTAAGTCCAAGTGTCAAAATAAAAAGTGTGTTTGCTTTTAAAAATAATATTTTTTGTACCTACTTCAAAATGTCACTTTTCTACAACATGTTATAATAAGTAAATAGTAGTTTAAGTAAAATATTTTTATAATAGTAATAATATAATAATAGATAAAAATTAAATGTTGTCTGTAATATGAGTAATAATGTATAGTAATTATAAAAATCTTAATGTAATATAATATATAATAAAATGTTTTGTACTTTGCCTAAAAAAAAATTGGTATTTTGCATAATGCCTAGGTATTTTATAAAATACCTAGGTTATATGTAAAATAATATTGAAAATCATATGTTATATTTACTTTGCCTAACATGGATTGGCAATTTGCATAATGCCTAGGCACTTTACAAAATATCTGAATTATCCATATTTCCGATAACATATATATTTATATATATTTATTAAATGTTAAAGAAATTGCTATTTATTATATTGTATTATATTGTTCGTTTTGAACCTTCTTAATATTTTCATATTTTAGATGATAACCATATTTTGAATTTCCGTGGGCTTTGATAGCATTAATTTAAAATGTATAAAAAACAATAATTATGCCGACCTTCGAAGCTGGGATCTGAACGTCGAATAGACGAATCTCAACTAAGGACCCGCCTTGCATCTTATCTTATTTGTCGTATATCTTGAATCTTACATACTTAATCCGTATGTTATAGTATAGATTTTAGAATATAATAATATAATAATATAATATGATATAAGTATTTTCATAATATTCTAAAATCAATATACTTATATGTTTATGTCTAATTATGTGTTGTTAATTTTATTTACAAATAAAATATAGACTGATAGTACAACGTTTGAAGTGTTTGAATGTCGTAAAGTGCGAAAACATGATACAACTATGATGGAACTCTACGTACCATCAAAAATCCAAATGAGTTTTACTATAAAAATAGTTATAATTTAAAGTTATTAGTTTAATAGTTATAGTTTTAAGTCAATACTGCTCTCGCAGCCATTTGAGATTTGAATGCCCGCGCCATGGGATCGGCGCAGATGTTTTGTGGGACGAAACGACACAGGATTGCTCTGTCGTATGGTACGACCCTTTTAACGGTAACGATTGGTCCGGTATAGATAGCGCTGCGACGTTCTTTTGTTGAACCAATGATAAGGGTCTCTTTATCATTAAAATGTTCTAACTTTCTTTTGGTTTTTAACATTTTCAGTAGACTTTTATTCCATTAAATTTTTTTTGATTATAGTTAAACAAGAATCGAAATTTGCTTTTTCATTCTTAATAGTAGAAGCCAGTTCATTTATAAATATTCATCCGTCTAGTTTGCCAATCCAATTTTTATCATAATTATGATTAAATTATATTCTTTAAAGCAGCATAAAAAAGACGGAGAATCTCCGAAATCTGGCAATCAAAAAAAAGCATCTGCTGCTCATCTTAGAATAACAAAAGGTAAACGTATACAAATCATACTCGTTCTTTACTTCACTTACTCTTTATTACTAATCTACCATTAAATTAACCAATTTTATTATTTGTCTCAACACTAACCTCATTTACCTTGTACTATTATCGATAGGAAATTGACGCGTTTCCTGATTACCTTTGAATGTTTCTAATAAGTAATATTTTTACTTAATATTACGCCCAATAGTTATTCATTAATTGGTAAAAATGTCACAATTGATTTTAGTCTGCTATAATTACAATAATCTTATGTTATACAATTATATTTTAGTTCAGTGTTAGCTAAGGACTTTTTTCTAACCTTAACATTTTAAAGTTTACACTTAAAATTAAAATAATAATAACTATTAAAAGTATGGCAAAGTATTCTGACATTTTGTATTAAAAATATTGAAATAATAGTTTAGAATCATGAATTAATAAGTTTAAATTTGTTTAAACTAACAAGTTATTAGCACCTTATAAAAAAATAATTAATGTGCTGAAATTAAATAAGTAAAATTCACAACTCTAACAATCACAACTATTTAATTGATCTTACTAAATTATGTTTTAAAACTTACTAGTCCTGAATACTTTTATCATTAGTGTTTACTTTACTTTTGAAATGTTTATTTTGTCTATCGATTTATTATTCTTCATGCTATTTATTCAAAATTATGATTTATATTATCGATTATTCTAAATTTACATATTGATAAATCATCTTTACACTATTGGTTAGAATGTTCAATTGTTTTAGTTTATTATAGTGTTTAACATGATGTATAATAATTGAATAACTTTTATTAAATAAATGATGTGTAAGACAAATTGCTAATAAAAATCAAAACAAGTATGATCAATTTATATATTTACCTGATGTATATTCAAATATTTTGAAATTATATAATCTCTATATACATAAATATTAATGTAGATCTATTTTTTTTTAATTTCGTTGTTTAATAATTTACAGTTGTATAATATATTATATATATATATGTGTGTGTGTTTGTTCTCAATATACATTCTAATTAGTATTTTTAATAATTATTCATTTTTAGATTTGAACGAACTTACTCTACCAAAAACATGTATTACTGAATTTCCTGACCCAGACGATTTATTAAATTTCAAATTAACCATCTGCCCTGATGAAGTAAGCTTAGTATTAATATGATACAAATTCTATTTTAAAACATGATATTTTTAGGGATCATATAAAGGAGGCAAATTCAATTTTAGTTTTAAAGTTGGAATCAACTATCCACATGAACCACCCAAAGTAAAATGTGAGACAACTGTTTACCATCCAAACATAGATCTCGATGGCAATGTGTGTCTTAACATATTACGAGAGGACTGGAAACCAGTATTGACCATCAACAGTGTCATTTATGGATTGCAGTATTTGTTCTTGGTAATTTTAATTATTCAACCAGGTTAATACATTGTAAAAAAAAAAAAAACTTGTTTTATAGGAACCCAATCCAGAAGATCCACTGAATAAAGAAGCTGCAGATGTCTTACAAAATAACAAAAGATTGTTTGATATAAACGTTCAAAAAGCGATGCGTGGTGGATTAATTGGCAATACATATTTTGAGAAATGCTTAAAATAACAATAAAAGATTTGTCCTACTTGGATAATGTGGCTAATACGTTATTAAGGATTGATCTTTTTCGTACTAATTTTGTATGAAATAAATAATGTAATATTCTTATATCGTAATATTAATTTTGTCTTTGAATTTTAAAATTGTCTTTAATTTGATAAAAATAATTCTAGAAAATAGTAATAATTTTTAAATTCATACAACAAAGCTGTGGTTATTATTTTATTTTGACCATTTTAGGATATAAGTTGGTAATAATAATATATAATAAGTATCAACAGTTATAATTTAAATTATAATAACAACATGTTGTTTAATTGGTTTAGATGATTTTGTATATAGTTTGAACATACAATAATAATAATGAATAGTAATAGCAAAATTGTTTTTGTCATAATATATTTGTCGAGTTACCGGCCAAAAGCAAACGGCGAGTTATTGCTGTTACTAAAACTAAATGTGGCTGGAACAGTTGCTTGGTCAAATTTAAAACCTGAAAAGAAAAAAAAAATTAGAAGATTAAAAATACATACACAAAATGTAACGCATTCAAAATTATACTAAAATACTTATTTTGCCAATAATAATTAATACCTCTATTATTCTCTACAAATAGAAGTTTCACAGAGTAGTTCTATAAATATAAACAATATCAAATATTCAATTTTTCTAACAATCGAGCACTAATACAATAAATTTGTACTAGTTTAATGACAATCATTAATAATTTACGTTGTATTATATTATTAAAAAAAAAAAATATTCTAATAAACTAAACCCCATCATTTATTAAAAAATTGATTATATATAAGGACACATTTTTAGGAAAAATGGTTAACTAATTAAACAGATTTATACAGTTTGAAAATCATTATTTTAAAAGTTATAAAAATAATATTAATTGTATTTAAACTAAAACTAGACATAACTAGGGGGGTAAAAGGTCTTTAGCATTCCTGAATTCAAATTTAATACCCCTGGTTTATTTTAAAATTAATCTATAATAATTTAAGTGCAATACAATAATTTAATTTTCAACAATTTTAGCACTTCCAATATTTGGTCTCCAAGTGTGCCAATTAGAACATAACTCAAGTGATTTTATACGTAAAAATTTTTAAATATACTTTTATATTAATTTATTTATTAAATGGTATCTTACCTGAACAAATGAAAATTAACATTGCAGAGAAAAGAGAGAGAGAAAAACCAAAAAAGGGATGGTTAAATATGATTGAGAATGATATAAGAGCCATTGATGTGTGTGTAGGGGATATAGAAAATTGAGACAAATGGAGGTTCAGGACAAAGGTGGCCAACTCCAAATAGTTGGGGAAAAGGCGAAGGAGAAGAATATGATACCCTAGTTAAGTGATTCCCAAACTATGCACCGCGGTGCCCTAGGGGCACCGTGGTCTACATATGGTTCATAACAAATAGTTTAAAATGTATAAAATTTGTTTTTCCTTATTGTTTTCGTAAAAACTTTATAGTAAATAATGTGATATTTTCTACTGTATATTCGGATATCCTCATTTTAACCATATAATAATTTTAAATAATAGTTATAATCATAATAATTTTTATTTATTTATTTTTTAAGTTTAAAAATGCATTAATTTATAATTAAGTTAAATTTCAATAAAATTAATAAAATTGGTTATCAATAGGTTTTTTTTTTGTTCTGTAATGTTCACAGCATGGCACCGTGGGTAAATTGGGTTCAAAGAAAGGCACTGCTGAAAAAAAAGTTTGGGAACTACTGCCCTAGTTCAACTTACCAACAAATTAAATAATTAAAGGAGTGTTTAAATAGTTAACTAAATGAACTTATATATTATACAATACCTGCTAATTTTTCTTTCTTTTTGTTTTCTACTTCAGCACGTCGCTGTTCAGCTAAGACCATGATTTCATTTATAGATTTTTGTTGGTCACTGTTTAAATGATTAGTAAGTGCCGAATACCAAGCAGGGTCATTTTGCTGTATGCTCAATAAAACAGTCTTAAATAAAATGTAAACATCGAGTGATTCATCAGCATTATTATCATCTGCATCTAGTGGTGTAGTATAAACTTCGAGCATTGTCTCTTCAGGTGGTTCATAGTCATCATCATCACTATCACTATCATCTTCAGTACCACTAATCATATTTAAATTCTACAATAAAATAAAAAAATTTATTATTAATCAATCATCATTAAATCAGCCAATTTTATGGACATACAGGCAATAATGTTTTTCTCTTATTATCGTTAGTATATGTCAAAGATTCATCAATTTCATCTTCATCCGAGGCCAATTCTATTAAAAATAAAAACTATTTAATTATCATTCCAAAACAAATGTATTCATTTTAACTAATATTACCATTTTCAGTATCTGTGTCTTCTTCTTCGCTAGATTCTTCATCTTCCGTAGCATCTTTATCTAATTTTGTAAATTAAATAATTAATTTTAAAATCTAAGTTGAAATAAATTTGATTATGCTTACTATTATATGCACGGTTAAGACCATCAAATAACATGAGCATTGAAGGCACTATTTGAGTGGCATGTTCATTTACAGCAATAGGACGATTTGGAGACAATGCCATTAATGTGAGTAAACCCATAACACAAAGTTTTCGATCATGAATTCTAAAACACATAAAATAAAATATTAGCAGACTATTAACATGTACAGTTAAATTTGTCATTTGAATATTCATTAAACAATATAAATTAGTTATCATTTAAATATCATGAGTATTAACAGTATAAATAACTTGCATGAGTATAAATTCAATTAATTATACTATATAAAGAATAAAAAGAATCATTAGAACACATGTAGTAGATATAATTTTTTACTGAAATTAGTTTAAATGATATACTGGCAATTAGTAATAAATATCATTGTAATATATTCTATATAATTTTTATTCGATTACTACCAAGTATAATTGAAAAGGCGCCTAAAAGAATTGTATAAAATTTAAGGCATTCATTGATAAATTACTTCTCAAGACAGTGAATCTACTGTAAACATTTTATTTTACTTTCCCTTATAGATTTATTTTTTTTTTAATATGTTCCAAATTGCAATATATAATAATGACAAATGAAGGGTAAGCAGGAATAACATGTTATTTAGCAATTCGTACATATTAGATAAATGACTAAAAAATGAAAAATGTATTATACATTTATTTAAATGTTATCTAAAACACACATAGAGTATTATAACATAATAGATTTTTTTTTTTTATAAATTGACCATTATTTTGTTCATTTATAAATTAACTTCAACTAAATTATTTCAAATGTATGTTTCACAATCGTGATATCTATACACCGCGCGGCGTTTCAACTTACTGTGAACAGTGAAGTTTATACACAAAAATATTTTAGGAATTTTATGATTTTTAAAATAGATTGATATTGCTTCATAGCAATTTATTCCTCAAAAATATTACACAACACGTTATTCCCACCCACTCTTCATTTCTTTTTTTTAATGATAATTATTTTTAATTACTGTTTTTGCCTTTCCCCCAGACTAAGAAACATACTTCCAGGTTGGAAAACACTGCTACCTTATAAGTTGAAGATATTAATACTTAGAAAACTTAAAGAAAATAATTGTGCTTATATAATCAAAGTCAATTGCAACAGTGTTTAAATTTTTAGATATTTAGATGTTGCTCATTTAAACTTACCCGAAAAAGCAATCTGTATCCAGTAACCATTGTCGAATAAAATGTACAGAAATGGATTCAGGTGTTGATATAGACGATTGCAATTTATCTAAAGTTTCAAATAACAAATGAGGATTGTAATAAATAGCAGCTACAATCACTTGAAGGCACATTGCTCGTAATTCGGATGATTTAATTTCTCTGACCAATCGCTGCAATGCTATTTCAACAATAGGTGGTATACACTATAAATATGGAAATAAAAATATAATTTTATATATTTATAAATATAATTTTGATAATTATTTATAACAAAACATTAACAATTACTTGATCAATACGGCCTTTGCATTGTAACACAATAACTTCTAATAGCTTTGCTGCGTGACATTCAGCTTCTTCACCAGATTCAGATGTTAAAACCTAATTTAGTAATAATAATTTTAATTAAAAAAGAAAATCACACAAAAAATTGTGAAGAAACTTACAACTTTACACATGTTGAATATTATTAACATATAATTCTCATTAGAAATAAATGTTTCCATTCCAACAGTAACATAATTATGAAGACAAGGCATCATATCGACAAAATAATCTACTCCATCATTTTGAAAGACCTAAAAACATTTGATAACTTTAAAAATATATGTAAATACAAAGTATAATATTTAGTATTATCATAGCTTACTGAATAGATTAATTCCAAGACTTTCCACATATTAGGAGATAATTGTGTATTGGTCAAATCACATACTAAATTTAAGGCTTCTTCATAATATTCTAAAATAAATAATATATAATTAAAAATATATATTTACTGATTCATTGATTCATGACTTACCAATACCAGTATCAGGTGTTGTAAATATATGTACTATAACTTCCAAAACAATTGGTTCGAGAGCTGCTAAAGTTTGAGGTTGCTCATCATTAACACTCAAAATAGTTTCTATACAACTTAAAATACTCATACCAGTAATTTCTTTCTTATCATTCATGTCATCTGACTGTAGAACTTGGAGGAAGGTTTTTACCTATATTTAAAGTAAAGTTTTTTTTTTTTAGTAAACATAGAAATATATCATAAACCAAGAAAAAGACTAATAATAATAATTAACTATACTGATTTATTTCAATGAATATATAATTTTTTACCTAAATTGAATAGCACCATAATTCATTAACTATAAGAATTGAAATATTAAAATTGAATTTAAAGACTTTAAACATTTAAATTAAATTAAACTTTTAAACACTTTTAACTAATAAAAAATATAAAGTAATATGTCTTCCATATATTTAAGTCTAAATAATTCTAATTGAATATAATTCTATTGAATATAATTCTATTGAATATAGAACCAAATTTGATGACTAATTCATAAAAAAAAAAAAAAAACAATTGGCTAAAATAATTAAGAAATTAACAATAACTTTATTACAATAAAAATAAAATACCGAACAAGAAATTAAATTGAAATACTAAAATTATTTATTTTATTTTATTTTATTTTTTTAAATATAGACTTTATAAATAATTTCATCAAATCTGTCAAAGGTAAATGCATTAAATATTATACTTAATGGAAGCACAATACTATAATGTATACGCAGGATTAATTAAAATTAAAACATTTATACTACATATTATTTTGTGTAGTGTATAAATTGAAAAAAAATAAAAAAACACAAGCCTAAATTAATTTATACTTCAGAAATGATATATAATTAAAATATTCAATAACATTTATAAAAGATAAATATAGATAACTAATGGTTAAAGTAATAGTTTCCAAGAAATTATAGTTTAGATTAATATTATATATTTATCATGAGTCATGAAAAATTATTTCATTTAATAAAGCTGACTCAATTTGAAGATGTTTTAAATAAATAATTAGTATAATGATATACAATAAAATAATCATATAATATAATAAAACAACATACCAAATTTTGACAAATATCATACATAATAGGTGCAAGTTTATCATAGTAAATTGCAATAACTTTTTGCACAACACTAGTTATATCATCATTTTCAGTTTCTTTTAGTACATTTAGAAGTTCTAGTACAATTTCTTTTATCTGTTGATAAATTATTGCATTAAAAAATTAGTAAATTTACTTAAAACTTGTAAAATACTTGAGGCTCTAAAAGAGGTTCAACTACTTCTTCAGCAATTAATAAGGCTTGAATGGCTAGACCAGCTTGAACTTTAACTGGGAGTTCTTTATCACTTAATAAAGCATTAGAGCAGAGTGCTGTTAAATCTTTCCAAATGTTACTATTACTAATTTTTACATCACACACATGTTGTATAAACCAACAAGCCTATAAAGTAAGAATCACAAATACATAAAATAATATTACTTAAATTAAAATAAATTTAATACATACTCTAGCTCTTAAGTGACCATGTGGACTTTGAAAAACTGGGAATACATGTTGATAAAGCATACTATCTACTTGATCTTTATACAATTCTTTTTTAAATATAACATCAGCTAATGCGCCGAGCTATAAAATAATTAATCAATAAACAATTAGTACATTATAAAAAATAAAATAAAAATATTCACCATATGAAGAGCTCCATCTTTTTGAGAAGGTGTAGCATCATTTGAAGTTATAACACCAACAATAAACTGAACAGCTTTAGGTAAAATACCTTTACGTTTTTTACATGCTGAATGCAATGTTGTTTGAGCAGCCATTACAGGAGATATCAAATCTTCAAAAATGTCTATTCAAAATTATAAATTATTATCTAATAATTCAATTACATAAACATAAATAATATTACCAAATTTCTGAGAAATATATTCATGTGGATCAGATTCCCATAATTCTTGATCAGCTTCTGAATGACACATAAGAGGAAAAATGATGTCCTGGATAATAGCTGGTATATGTGGTTTTATCATTTTCCATGTATGTGCAATACTAATACTGAAATTAATAAGATTGATAAATTTTAGCAATCATATAATACTATTAGATGGTTAAATAAAAATTTTAAGAGGATTTAAAAAAAAAGCAAACATTTAATAACAAAAAAAATCATGGGTAAAGTAATCGTGAATTAGAATATTAACTATTTAACAAAAGTCTAAGTGATAGTGTGCAGACATTTCAAAGTCAATGCTATGTTTCTATATTTTAAGAAAATTTGGTTTAGACAGTACTATTATAACGAACCCAGACATCTCGGCATGGCAATTTCAGCGTGCATTCAATTCTTTTTGACTTATATTCTTTAATTTGATTTTTGCTATAAACATGCTGTATGCCATAGTATAGTATATAATTATAAACACGCTACATAAATGATATTTATGTAAAATTATTATGCGATACGACATCGGCCGACAATAATAATAAAAGATAATAATGATAATAATGATTATCCCTCTATATATATAACCTAACAGAAATAAAATTAAAATAAACTAATGACAACTAATATTATAGGCTATCCCCTTTAAAAAACTAATAATGTCATGATTGTTATAATTATTTACAAGTTTTTTTATTCTTTTATCTACATCAATACACTTCTTTTTTTTCCGCAGGGGACTTTTTCCAGCTTCTAATTGATTATAAAATGTATCAAGTCCAGACAATACTTTTCTCAAACAAGAAATGAATGTCTATAACATTAGATGCTGCACACTCATTTGTAAATTAGGTCGCCTGTTAGCTGCCTCGGCATAGTTGTTAGTTCCTATTTAAAAATCAAATTCAAAAATATAAGTCTAAAAGAATTGAATGTACGCCAAAATGGGTCTACACCGAATTGGGTTCACACCAAAATGGTATACGCCGAGATGTCCAAGAACGCTATTATGAACATTCATCCATTCTGAAGATAAAACCTACAATAGGCAATAAGACACAACAAATCCTCAAAAACTATAGAATGTGTTGTTTGAAAAGATTGCTGCTAGCGAATTATATATATTACTGTACCAACAAAAGCATACTCAATAAAATAAGTAAACACAGAAAGATTACTCAAAAACTTGATATACTCTTGAAATACTCAAAAACATTAAAGACGATAGAAAATATTTGGTCAAAATGGAAGCATGAAAACAAACTAGTTTATAGAATAATTTAAGATAAAATTAAAGAAACCAAAGATGTCCAAGAAAAATTATTTCGGATGCTAGACTATTAAGCTACACATAACTAAAGAGGATAACTGGAAATAGAGAAGAATAAAGAGCAGATATCATACTGTAAAACCAATCATAAGGTTAAATACATGAAGTGAGAATCTCCTCAATAACTTAAGAAACCTACATTTAGAAAATATACAAAATACATATATGTACAAGAGGTAAATTGAAAGTTCACTAATTTTAATTTCATCAATCTAATGTAAATTTAATAACTCTTTGAGTAAATAAAAATATAAATTAATAAATTCAAAATATTTTTATAGTGGAACACCTTGAAAAAAAAGCATAAACAAAATATAAACAGTTAATGCACATAATAACATTTGCTATAATAACAATTTTAATATTAAGTAGAAAACATAAAAAAAATAATTCATACCATTGGTTCAAATAGTTTAAGCCCATTTGCATAACTCTAGGAGGGACATATACTTTATTTCGATATTGATCTAAAATTCTTAAAACAATTTCTATAACTCCAGTTGAAAAAGTTTTTACATAAAATGTAGCAAAGTGTACATATTCTTGAGCCACACTTCCTGGACTTCCAAACCTAAAAATTAATATTACGTAAATCATTTATGTCAACTACTAAATGATGTACCTTTTACAATTTACCTTTCAAAAATTCTATACATAGTATGCAAAGCCCATTTCTTAACTTTCCACCAAGGTAACTGATCTCTTTCACTAGGTTCACAATGGTTGACTTCTTCTGGAACTGGATTACATAAAACTATGCTCAATATTTCCATCCACTTGGTAAATGTTGTTTTTTCCATAAGGTCTGGACTTAATGTGAACTACAAAGTAAAAATTAATATTTGATATAGATAATAAATCAATGAATCACTATGAATGACTTAACAATAACAAGGAAATTAAAATAAAGTTACCTTATTATGCTAATGATATATCTATGTATTTATGTATACCTGTATGAGTTTGAAATAACTTTTAACTATAGTTTTCTGCAATGCAACTGAGTCAGCTGTTGAATTACTAACTATGTGAGCCATGACATTATATACACCAGGAAGCAATACTTTAACCGCACCATGAATAGGAGACTTATCTGCTTTTTGGTACTCAAAAGCTTTCACTAAAGCTGAAAAACCAACAATACCAGCCAACCAATAAGATGAATTATCACTAATTAGATATGCATTGATTTTATCAACAACGTTAGTCCAACGCCCAGGAAAATCATGTTTCATTATTGTCACTAAGCAAACAGTTAACTGTGCTCTAAAAAAAAATTAATAATCACATTAGTACACAATACCTATATAAACAAATGAGTATAAAAATAATTACCGTAATAATTCTGGAACTTGAACCAAAACATCTAGAATAGTATCTCTAACTATTGCTCGGTCTTGTTCATGAACTGTAAATTTATTAGGTTCATCTTCACGAGTTGCCCAACTTTGGTATATTAAATTTTTTAAATATATAGCACCTAGAAAATAAATTTATGAAAAATGTATACAATCTAATTTTATCTTATCAACAAATTTATATTTCTTACTAGCTTGTCTAGTAGACATATCAATATCTGAAGTGAGAACAATTTGCAATAGAGCTGGACCAAATCCAGCAATTTTGTGGATCTATAAATAAATAAAATAATGGATCCATAAGAATAATTTACGACTTCATTGCACTTATTTGATAGGATGACTATTTTGAATTGAAATAATGAAATACTCAACGGTTATATATTTTAAGTTGGGATATATATTTGTTATTAAAATAAAATAAATAAAAGAACTATTTGAATGGCGTATAAATATAAATAGAATATTACAAAATATTAAAAGGATTTACTTATAATAAAGAATAAAGTGATATGATATCAACAGGTGGGCCATGAAAATTAAGTTTAAATATTTTGAAACAGATGGAAGATAAAGGTTATCTTGTTAAATGTTCATTTTATATTCAATAAACATTAGTTAATAAGGTTTTAATAATAAACTGAAAATACTGTTGGTATCATCAAATATACATTTCAGATAATTACACTACGCAGCATAAAAAATCAGTCTCTTATAACTACACCAATAACACAACTGTTATGTCAATAAGAACAATCTATGATTTTGTAAGAAATGTACGCGAATTCAGACTTTTCAGTGAAATTTAAATAAAACGTTCGAATTTTGTTCACCAAAATCACTTAACAATGAGATCACATAATAAATACGGACAGTAGCACAACGGTGATCAAGAGCAACGAACCGTATAAAGGCCAAGAACCGTTTTGGACAAAACACGATGAAATGGCAAGGTTGGGACGGACCAGCTGAAAATGCGTCACGCGTAACAGCGATCCGAAGTGCGCAACCGATCCCCGCAGGGCTTTCGGGTTTTAGAGTGTCATTCGCAACACACCCCGGCGAGACATTATAGCCATAACCACACGGGGCCGTCGTGTTATCAGTGGTCATCGCCGTCACATCAAATTACGGGTAATGTGCTCCTCGAACGGGAGGCCGGACGAAAATCACCGTCAAAGGGACCGCTACAATGGACGGAACGCACCGAACACGCGTGCGGTGTTTTCACATAACCTTCAACCGTGAGCGTGCGGAGTCGCGCGCGCAACGAGCATGGTGGTGGTGCGGCGCGGAGCGCACCGTAAGCCGGGACGAACCGCATACACTGAAAAGCATGCTTACGCGCTGCAACTGCTCCTCTGCCTCGCTCCTGTGCGGCTGGTACAGCGTGGCGTTTAGCAGGGCGGTGAGCTTTTCGATGTCCATCGTGGCAGCTCAGGTGCGGGTGTATAGCGGCAAAGGCGGCGAGTTCGTGTCCGCCTAACCGGATACGTTGTTGCGATGCGCACACGTAGCAAACTAAATCGGTAGATGCGTGTTGAGCTCGCTCGCCGTGTGCGTGTGCGTATCAGTGTGTGTGTGTTTGTGTGTGTGTGTGTGTGTGTGTGTGTGTGTGTGTGTGTGTGTGTGTGTATGTGTGTGTGTGCGTGCGTACGGTGGCTCAATTCGAACGAATCACGTGACGTGATGAAAATCGCATTTTGTTTCACCGACAATCGCGGCCCAATAGACAACCGCCATAATGGAAATTATTTTTTTGTTTACTTTTTTTTTTTTTATCAACAGTGCTTCCCGAGTTAAAAAAAAAACCACTACCAAAATAAATGATCTACTGATACCACGTGTGTGCGGCCTGCCGGAGACTTTTCGCTCGCCGCCTGTCGGTCGCACTGCCTGAAGGTCATCATCGAATGATACCGACGTGCCCTACTGCTGCACATATGATTATTCGAGTTTACCAAATTTTCATTTGAAGCAATATCGTTTTCCTAGCTTCCGCGGACACAGATTTTATTCGTGCACGAACCGCTTCTATTCACGTAGTCCACCGTCTCGAACAGCCGTCGCCATGAGCTATTGGAGAGCCGCCGGATTAAAGTAATTATCTCTTTATCACGTACGGACTCTAATTCACGCTCTCGTGAATTTCCGCCCTTGGATTACTCCAGCGACCAGGAATTAAGGATTCGCTTTTTCCGTTATTTTCTACTCTTTCTGGTACTCGATAAATGATTGGCATTCGATGCTTAACTTCTCTCTAATGTCCTTCATCACATCCCGCCATTTCAACTCAATATAAATATTACAAATTTGTTTAAATTAGTCTTAGTTTTTTCATAAATTTTAATTTTTAACTGTAACCCATCTGAAAGTTATTATCCCTTTATTAAAAACTCTTGCATCCAGTTAAAATAATAACCTTATTATGTTTATGCTTAATAATAATTACAACATGGCTTAATATAAATTTTACTAAATTACTCACTATTTGTCAATGTTAATAAATATAAATCAAAATAGTACTTCTGAGATTAGCTGATAATAGGATAGGAATAGAATATAGATAATATGGAAAACTCTAAAACCAAGATTGGGATTAATTACTTGAAGAGAAAGAAAAATAAGTTACCTATTAATTAAACACCAGTTTTATTTACCTATATCATTTGTAATATTAAAATGTTAAACTAAATTTAATTATAACTATTAAATAAATTTGAAACTTACATTTCATACATTTTTAGCTATGTTAACTATTCCAATATTGCTGCCAAAATTGTAAGAAGGGTATTAAAACCTGAACTTCAAAGCAATGCCAGTAAACGTGATGAGACTCATGTTAAGTTCACTCCATGGATCAAAGGAAAGCCAGCTAGTAAGTTATAATATTTGATTTTTTTTTATTAATATTTCATACGATGTAATGTTATATAATAATGAATTATACTCTCTTTATTTTTATTTCAAACCATATAAAGCATATTGAATATATATATAAATATATTATATGAATAATGAAAACAATTATTTTTATTATAAAAAGGCATCAAGTATATAGGAATGTTAACTTAGGTTTTCAACTGATAAAGAATAAGTATTTCTGTAGTCTTTTTTTTATGCAACATGAATTGAGAAATATACATTTTTACTAAAAACAAATAATTTTAACTTAATTTTGTCCATAATGACTGATAAATATCTGATGTCATTTATCATTAAATATTGCAATATTTCAGATGAAAAAGCTTAAGCTTATACAAGCTAAAAAAATTGAAAAATTCGTAAAAAAAATTTTCGTAAGTTCTAGTGTGTATAAATTTTAAGTTCTCTTTTGCATGGCTATGTTTTAATTTATATGTGTTGACTATTTAGTTTAAATATTTAAAATTGTTTTAGATATTTACATTAACTTATTTTTACTGATTGAATTTTTAAATTTTTTATAGTTTTAATTAATATTTTTAAAAATGCTTAGTTATTATATACTTATGTTTTATTATTATTTAAAAATATTTTATAATACTATTCAATTTGAATGCTTGTATATAAGTATATAAAATTATATTTTTATCAATAATTTATTTCAACAACATAGTAAGCCCTACTGAGTCTGCTCGTTTTTTATTAATTAATTTGTTTTATTTTCTTTAGATACATTTTTTTATCTTCTGTTTTCTATTTTAAAATTTAAAAATCTATTCTAATCCCAAACCAAATTTTTATTGTGAAATGAGTGCTTAATATTGTTATTAGTTTTATTTATTTTATACTAAATATATATTCATTCATTTATAATTGTTTGTTTTTATTAATAATATTGTTATAAATTGATTAACATTAATGTTTCTTTTTTTATGTAATGTGTGAATTAATATTTATTTTTATTTTTTCATTTCAGAACCGGGTCAACAATAGTCGATTAAACTACTATGAAACATTCAAATTTTTAAATAAAATCCAATGTAATACTTTTTTTTAGTTATATTTATTGTGATTTAGCTTCTAAATAAATATATTTATATATTATTTTTCATCAATTTTGATAAAAAATAATTTATACAGAACTGCACAGTGAAAATTGATTTTTATTTCTTTGTAAAAAGATAGGCACACGTAAAAATAATTTAATAAAAATGTAAGATTAAAAAATGTTGAATTTGTTTATTTAAAATAACTTCTTTTGCATTTTAGAAAATACTAAATCATAAATTCTTCTAAAATGTTTATTTTTAAAATTTTAGATCTTAAATAAGATACCATTGATTCTTAATATTAGTGTTATTTACATTTATAAGTGATAAATAATAATAATAATAATGAATCATTCATTCTTGGTGAAGGTTAGAGGTTAAGTATATAAAAAAACAATATTAATCTTTTTTTAAAATTAAATGTTAACAATAAAATTTAAAAACCAAAGATTAATGATATTCAGAAGTTTATTTATATGTGCGTGTAGACCTGTAGAAAATTGCTGCTCTAAACAACTAAAAGAATAATTTAGTTACCTTTTATAAAATATATATTATTTAAGTAAGTATGAAAAAGAAATTGTATTTAAATACTAAAACAAGTACTTAAGATTTAAACCATTTTTATTAATAATAAAATACATTGTTCAAATTTGCCAATGTAGACATATGCCTTTAATGCTTGCATATAAGTATACCACTGATGATATTGGTTTATAAAGCTTTGCAATGTACAGTTAAAGAATTGTATTAAATATTAATTTAAAAAAATGTTTTAATGATTCCTGCTGGAGGAGGATATGTTTTATCCTTACAAATTTGTATTATATTTATTATTTAAGTATCAGAGTAAAATATTTCAGAAATTTCTTTATTACTAAAATTATTTTCAATAAACTTTGTAGTTATTTATTATTGTGTTTGTTTACAAAATAAGCCATGATATATGAATGAAATATTAAGTGTATTTTTTATAAGTTTGATTATAATTTTTTTTGCCACTTGATGTTTTTGGTTTTAATTTCATTGTGAGAAAATTCTGAATAATATGATGCAGCCGTTTATGTTTATGATGGCTGAATTAAGTCTTAGTCAGAGAATGAGAAAGTGGCAAGTTTAGTCTGTGTAGTTCAGTGATTCTGTGTTTGAAGGACTTATGATCAATTAATATGGGTTTTATTTTTAATATTATGAAGGAATTACAATGTTTGCATTCTATTTTAATTAGTTTACTAAATTTCTGGTCTCAAATTAATGACAACTGTTGGAAGTAGTGGGTTAAAGAATGCCATGTCATCATCTTCTATTGGGTTTATTATTACTATATGTGTATATATTATGTCCATAAAATCAACTAGAGCTTGCTCATTGGGCTTCTTTCGCTTATTTATTGGATTTGCAGAAGTGGAAGAATTCTTGGCAACTTGATAATAAATTAGATTTTGGACGATGTTAGTTCAGATTTAGCAGCAGGTTGGTACTCGAAATTTGAATCGGTGTTTCTTAACTGTTTGTTTTTTCCTAGGAAACACAACTGTTCCCCATAAACGTTAGACTTCTCAGTAGCTCCAGACCTTGAGTTATTGGTTTGATTTTTAAATGTTGTACATAGTTTTCACGGATTGTACGCCATTTACCCATAACGTCTAGTACTGGAAAAACATATTTTTAAAAATGTATCTATTTGTTTAATATATTCTATATTGTACATAATGTGTACAAAATGATAATTTATTACCTAATATAAAAATTATATTAGAAAAAAATGTAGTTCATAGTATAATTTTTAAAAATACGTTGACGCAATAGTGCAAGTACATCAAGTACACCGCGGATTGTCGCGGAGCCACGCCCGGTTGCGTATTACCAAACCCTAGAGTGCCCCAGTGCCTTATTCTAATACGCTGTTCTCATTAATTGGTTTAAATTGCGCAGGTAAATCATACTATTGTTATTATGATGGCTAAGTGTAGATATCACGAACTAATATTAATATCTAATTAGTTCGTTATCATAGCATTATCATCATAGGCCATGGCTAAATGTAGATATTTTATCTCATCTACTAACTGCCAACTAGATATTAGTGATTTTTAACTAATACATTTATACTAAAGAGCCTATATAAGAAGACTAATATAATATAAGCCTATATACTTTTATTTAGAGTCTTTAAATTACCTATACCTTTAATTCAAGGTTACCCTACGTAATTACCCCATTACTACTCTACAGTCTATAAACCTAGAATACAAAAATGTATGAATATCATTATTCTATACTACGAATCTTAAATACTACCCAAGTACCCGCCATAGACATAATATATAATTTTATATGATATAATGCGTAATTATTATACAATATAAATAATATAATGGTAATTGTACTGCCTTCTAACTGTTCCCATGCATCATACATGATTTATTATAGCAAATTTTATAAGTTAGGTGCTTACTCATCTATTTAATACTTGCTTAACAGTTTTCATTTAAATACATTTTATAAATTATAATATTATAGCACACAAATGAACATTTAAAAATTTTGTAAGTGGAATTTAGTAATCAAAATTAGTTGCAAAAAAAAAAATACAAATATTTCTACACATTCTATTATAATAAAAACATTATTTTTGGTGAGTGAAGTTAGAATTTAAGTAATATTTAAGTTATTTTATTATTTATTAAGAGGTAATTTTATAACTCTTTTCTTATGTGAAGAGGGATGAGTCTGCCTTTAATATATTATCTACACTCTTCATGTTGCATACATAATTCATTGATTAGGTTTTGTACTTCATGTATAAAGTAATTTATCTATTCCGTTATCTACCTAGGTATATATACTGTTCTGAATTGTTAAATGACAAATGAAGACAAGTTGAATTTACTTAAAACTAATTTAGGTAGTTATATAAATAATAACATAATTCATCTTTATTTAATATATTTATGTAAGATCTTATAATTAAATAAAGTACCACTAGGTGACCTAATGGCTAATATATTACTTATATATAGGTATATATTATATATAAGTACTGATTGTTATCAATTAGGAATCAACTAAATATTATTAGTTAATGATTGAACTTTAAATTAAACTTAAAAGTGAAGTTAATTACCCAGTAAAAAGTCCAAGTTGAAGTAATAAACTATTTTTAAGATGGACATTGAAATACTTTAAGCGTATCTCAGTCAATTTTGTGAAAAATGTGTATGTGTTGTTGACGAGAAAGAAAGTTATCTCAAGTCTAATAAGTCTAATAATAAGAGTGAATATTTCAAATAGTGAATCAGCCAAAAAGTTTATAAATTTATTTACTTTGGCAACTAATGTTTCATATATATTAAACTCAAAATTACCTAATCCTTTAAAGTAAGCCAAAGCACATATAACTTCAAGAATATATCTTACTATTTTGTACTAAAAATAATTATATTTTAGGGTAATTTTTCATAAGTATTACAAGTGTCATCATTTCTTAAAAAACAAAAGTACAACAAAAATCGCATTGTTATTTGTTATTTTGTTGTTAATTTAGTTATTGTTAATTTGTTAATTTATTATTATTAATAATACTACCAATGATTGTAAATAGTATTTGTAATCAATGATATTACATTATGAATAATGATAACTTGTACCATATATATAGTTAGTTCAGATTTTACAATCTAATTATTATTGTTTGGAAAATAGGTATATATAATATATATACATATATAATCTATAATATTAAGGCAGTTTTTTAATAAATGATTAGTATTAAATAGGTATAGAAAGTGACTAATTTAATTATAAGATCTTACATAAATATATTAAATAAAGCTGAATTATGTTATTATTTATATAAATACTTACATTAGGATTAAGTCATTTCAACTTGTCTTAATTTGTCATTTAACAATTCAGAACAGTATGTATACCTAGGTACATAACGGAATAGATAAAACCATAAATTACATTATACATTATATACAAAGCCTAATAAATGAATATCGCAAACCTGAATTAATGAATTGTGTATACAACATGAAGACTGTAGATAATATAATAAAGGTTTATTTTATATATTACATTTATATATTTATATATTATATGTATTTCACATAAGCAGCATTGCACTGAGCAAATTACATATTTTGTGTCGACACTTTGTGACAAATTTTATTTATATCAGCGTTTCCCAAACTCTTGTTTAGGCCGGCCCGGTAATTAATATTTTTTCTCTTCGTGACCCACCAAAGTATTTAATATTAATCATTGTGTAAAAAAAGGCAAAATAAAACAAATTTGAATATCCGCATAGGATTTTATAATAAAATCGAAGCGTTCATTTGTTACTGTTATACTAGTTGATAATCTCAGTAATTATCATTTATGTTGTAAATAATAGTTATTGGTGTTAATAAATTTATTTTTACTAAAAAGTTCAAATTATCAAATGAAATCATGAATAACAAATTTAATATGAGAATTTTATTAAATTCTGCGATCTGGTATTATATTTTCGTGGCCCGGTAATGGGTCGTGACCCACTATTTAGGAAACGCCGATTTATATGCATTTATAACTTACTGAGTATCAATATAATTGTAAACACTCATACGGTTCTCATCAAAAGATTTATGTTGGTACATGACATACATTTTCGGAAGATTTTACTCCTTTGCATTTAAAATAATAATCTTTTAGCTTTTGATTGATATATTGAAAACATTAAAAAAAAAATTACATCATTCGCACAATAATTTTATTGTTGGCTATTCATTTCATTATTCATAAACTATAGCGTGTTACTATGACGTTTTAAATTAAAATTTTCGACTAACAATAGTTCGTACGAAATATTTGTCACATCAACAACGGAGTTGAAAGTAAACACATACAATTTCTTAATATTTCCTAAAGCCATCATAAGTTTCATTAATACTTCAAAGTTTCAAGTTTAAACGATTTTAATTTATTAATTAACTATTTTCCAATTATCGCTGATAAGTGGTCGATTTGTCGACTTTTGAAATAGCAGATTCGTCAGTCATTGGAGATAGTCTATGCAGACATCTTCCGAGTAAATCTTTCTACCAGGTAAGGTTTTTTAAACCGTTTCCCAACCCTCTTAAGTCAACATTATGAAATATTTAATAAAATAAGAATTTGTAAGAATTTTATATTTTAGGGTCAAGTTTTAAAATTTTAGGAAGATTTTAGGGTCAAAAGAAGAAAAACTATTTTTTTGTAATTTTTGAAAAATTTATTTCAGTTTTATAAACTTTTTTGCACAACAATTTAGTTTTGTTAGAAAATTGTTGACGAATATATTAGAATAAATTACATTTAATCCATGCAACATTAGTTAAAATACGAAACCCTCACTTTTAAACTTACATCTTGAGTTCTCATTTACTAAATTTAGGGGGATGCCCGGACACACATACGACTATACTCTGATAACTGATAATTTTGATTTTGCAAGTAGTAATCATTGGCTTATATTTTTTATTTAAAAATATCAGATTATTTGTAACATTATAACAGTATTAAATATTCTGTGATTATACATAAATAGTTAAAGCTATAATTTAATTTAATAATTTTTTTTTTTTTTTTTTATTATTTAGAAAAAATACAATCCGAACAGAATATATACAATAAGAATTTATGTTAAATTATTTATGTTAATTCATGATATTTATGTTATTATTTAATAAGTTAAAAATTAATTTAAGATCTTCAATTAATTAAAGTATCTAATGATTTGATATCGGATTTAACAAGAGTTGAAATATTTTATCATTAATAAATTAGACTAAGTCCCATAATTAATAGACTGTTACGTGGTACCCAATAAAAACAGGTACCTATCGTAATGATGTTGTTGGAGTAGGATAAATTGATTTAATAATTAATTTAATCACTTTTAAACACTTTAATAAATACAAATAAATGATATACAGATACAAATTATAAATTTGCGCACTAACAATATCAAAGACAAAACTCAGAAGGGCTTGTACTGATACCTAGACACGTCTGCCGTTGGTGGTGAAACGGAGCCTTTATATACTCTGTTTGATTCTGTTTTAATTGTGTTGTTTTCGCCGCTTGGTTGTCCTTGGTCTCGATCGTCATATTCGAATGATGATTCGTCACGTGGTTGCCCTTGGCCTTGCTGTCCTATTCGAATGATGATGTTGTTTGCGGTTGTTCGTGATTTGTAATTCGCACATGGCACTCATTAAAGTTTATGTGTGCAATAATTATTCTCTGTACGTTTTTCCTTATATGACTCAGGAATATTCGTATTATTAATTATTAGTAATATATGCATATTACAAGACTACAACTATTTAAAGAGAGTGAGGTGTGTATGCAATAAATTCACGCGGCTCCTGAATGTACGGGTCAATTGTAAAATTACTCTCGAAGTGTCATCTTTATTAAATTAGTACATTAATTATAAAAAAATATTCGTATTGATATCTTTTAAAATGTTCAGTACTAAACGGTTTATTATTGAAATTTAACTTGAAATTGGCCTTTATTGACCCTTTTTAAGTTTTATGGGTAAACCCAATGTTTGTTTTTTCTTTTCAATGCATTTGGATGTGTATGCCTCTTAGTAGGATGAAATGGCCGGTTCTGCCCCCCCCTGCCCACCGTCGATGACCTTACCGATAAAATTTGACCCCAATTAATCATAATTAATCTTTGACCCCAATTAGCCTGATTTACACTAATTGGTCAATTAAAAGGGTTAATTGACCAATTAGCACCCAATTAAGTACTTAACTTCTGACCTTAAAAGGGTTAATTGACCAATCAGTACCCAATTAAGTACTTAACCTATGATCTTTAACGGATTAATTAACCAATTACTGTCAATCAAGTACTTGACCTGTGATCTTCAACGGGGTAATTGGTCAATTAGTGTCAATTAAGCGCTTAAACTATGATCTTAAATGATTTATCGAACGATTACGGACATCGGCGGCGGCGGCGGCGGGTTTAACCCTTTCGCCCTAAGCCACGACCACCACTTCACCACCGGCCTTCCCCGACCGCCGCCGCAACCACCATAACGACCACCACTTCACCACCGGACTTCCCCACCCGCCGCGATCCTCGGTCCGGGGCCAGGGTCCCGCCCCACCCCTCCCGGCTCGGTAGCGTCATCGCTCCGATGACGGGTCGATTTTTTAGCCGTTATCATCGATTTTTTCGCGCTCTTTATATAATATTTAATATTGTACATCATGCTTGGGAAAATTTTAAATCCGCTGACACTGGTTTTAGCGAAAAAGCCGCATCGTGGGCCGTCACAACGGGGATGAAGGCTAAACGTAGAATCGACGGCGGCGGTGGCTGCGGGTTCAAAAATGTAGTCGAAGTGGCTAAAAAAGCTATTAAAAAATCCATCAAAGCGTGTTCCGGAACGTCGAACATGAGCAAATTAATTAAATCCGGTATCGCTGCGGCTAAGAAATACACTCGTGGAATCAATACCACGTGTAAACCGCCTAGAGTTATCAAAGTACCACGGACGGGCGGTGCTCTAGCGTTAATAAAAAGACAAAACGCGGGTTAAATTAAAACACGGGTTAAATTAAAACGCGGGTTAAGATAAAACGCGGGTTTAGACAAAACGCGGGTTAAGACAAAACGCGGGTTAAATTAAAACGCGGGTTAAATTAAAACACGGGTTAAGATAAAACGCGGGTTAAGACAAAACGCGGGTTAAATTAAACGCGGGTTAAGACAAAATGCGTGTTAAGACAAAATGCGGGTTAAATTAAAACACGGGTTAAGACAAAACGCGGGTTAAGACAAAATGCGGGTTTAGACAAAACGCGGGTTTAGACAAAAGCGGATTAAGACAAAATGCGTGTAAGTTAACACTTAACTTGTTAACTTATTCATTATCATAATCATTAGGATCAAGCATTAATTAAATTTTTTTCTTTTTTTATAATAATTAGATAGAATATATAACATAGAACATAATAACAAATTAAATACTTAACATAAAAAAAAATGAAAAAATTATACACATAAATATCTTTCTCAGCAATATATCTAATATTTTACAACATACTTTACAGTTATTAGTACTGTAAAACCCATAAATGAGCAAAAATATTCAATTTTTACAAAATGATTCACTCAAACAAGAGCAGCCAGATCACAATTAATATAATTTTGAGGTTTAAGGTTAAGAACTGCCATATGTTGGAGTTTTAAACCAAGTCCCATATCTGTAACAATTTATAAAATAATACATTTATTTTAAAAATTTATAAAA